GTGTAGTGATGCATTGCAGCTCTTTAACCATGCAGAGTTACAGGTGTGCATTTTAAATTGGAGGGACGTTTTTAGGTAGCAGTCTCTCATTCCCTTTGGTGGAGTACCACTACAGTACCACATTCCAGGACTGCGTATGAAGAAAGCTAGGCTTTTTTTGTGTCTTGCTGAAAACATTGTTTCATCAGGATGCTGTACTAAAACCACTGCTTATTTTTCCCAGAATCTATGTATTTGTTGGAGATATCATCCAAATGGTGATGCACACTTTCTGCTGACGGACCAGCTGCTTTTGTTGCGGAAGATGTTTCTACCTAACAGTCTGTAACTGATTCTGCTCCTTTGGATAGCATTTGTTCTGGCATTGCTTACTAGTGCTGTGGTTTTTTTAGTTATTATTTCTGAAGTTATCTGTTAGGCTTGACAGTCTTACAAAAGAAGATGTGCTTATGAACTGTACGAGCTCTCTGTTCTTTGTTGATGGGACTTTTTTCTGTGCCCTGACTAAAATCTTGGGTAAAGTCTTTCACCATATCTCATAACTGATTTAGTGCCTCGTTGTCTGACTTGATTCTGTTTTCTTTCTTACTCCCCTCTCCTTGTCTGTTCTTGCTAACCATAGTAGTAAGTGCTCTTACATCGATCGGAGACCTTTGATATGGGAACAGAACCTGGCTGTGTGTGGTGTTGGCAGGGACAGATTTTCTACATCTGTAAGGAACCCTGTGTTAAGAGTGTTTGGCTAGGAAAGAATTACGGTTTGAATTGCTGCTTCTGGGTGACAGAATCAGTTAATAGAAATAATCTACCTCATCTTCTTGTGAACAGAGTGAGATCAGGCTCCTTGGCAAGTACTGGACTTGTTTGTAGTTTGGTTGTCTTTTGGAAGACCCTGTGTTGCTGTTTTGCAACTTCCCTGCTGCTGTGACTCAAGGCTCTTTTTGTGATGTGTGCATTTGTCTAGTCTGCTGCACTAGACATAGACGTCACTGCTTCCCTGATGAGAGAGAAAAAAAAAACCAACGTGTTCTGTAATATTTTTGAAGAAAAAGTTACCTGGATGAATAGTTTTAATTTTAATTCTCCATTTTTCTTACAATGAATAGCCAGTTTGGGGGGATCCTTTACCTTCCAGCATCTACATATGATTATATTTTTCACCCTCTCATGTCAACAGGTATGAGCATCCTATGTGGGGCTCTGCTCATCTGCTTGGCTGAAGCTGAACTTGTGGTAGTAATGGAGATGTTAGATGGTATGTCAGGACCAGCAGCCTGTGGAACAAGTGGGATCTCCTTTTCATGGGAAAATGTCAGAAACAGAGGACAGCCCAGTACGCAGGTTCCTGTTACCCATTCTTGGAACTGGCCATTTGGAAACCCGTGTCCTGACTTCAGGTAGAGAGTACTCACGTAGGACATCTTTAAAGCAAAGAGGGTTCTATACTATCTGGAAGGTGCAGGTATCAGATGATATCTGATGTTTGCATATCTTAATGATAAATGTTAACACAACATGGATCATATTTATGAACTAAAGTGGAGAGGAGACCAAGAAACTTTTAAAATGCTTTTATCCTTGACATGAGCTAAAGGTGGTGGAGATACTTCTGAGTATATGGCACTTGATGGGCTGACTGAATGGTTTTGGAAAAGGAAGGTCATGTTTTTAAGCTGACAGTCTCTGGTAGTTAGCAATGTATTACAAAGCAGAGCATTTTAACTTGTGTGTCAGCAGGGTGAACCATGGCACCAGAGCTGCCGATTGCTGTATCCTTGCTGGTCGGGAAGGCTCTTGTGGCTCTGCAGGAGGGTAGGTAAGCAAAATGTTAGGGTAAAAGGGCATTGGGTGCTCTTGCTGTTCTGCTACTGAGTATTATTGCTTTTGTTTCTTCCTGTAAGCATCAGTATGAAGTAGGTGTGGGCTGGAATTCAAAGTCTCAAGAGTTTTGGTATATTCAGACTTCTCCTCACCCTTTTTGACTCCCCTCATTGTTGCCCCCTCCACACTTTAAGCCTAATGTTTTGAGCTCTTGCTAATGATTCCCAGGCAGGGTGGTGGGGCCCACTGTCATCTTTCCGATAGTTTGTCTGGGTTTTGCTGTTCTACTGTTACTCCCTGAGCTTTGTTACCTCAGCAGATTAAATCCCAGGCAGATTTTGTTCCAGCATCAACCTGGGTCATCTCGAGGAAGCAGCTCCCTTGTTAAGTTAATGACCTGCATCCTGCCTCCAGGGCCTTCTTTTGCTGTTCAGCCCTAGGGTGATGTACAGCGTCAGTATTTATGAATTGTATGTCCTTCTGCCATGGTACCTTACCTAAGGACACAAATAGTGTTTTACTGTCCTTGAAGGCTCTTTCTGCTGCCTTTGCCAGTCTGCCACCTGAATTGCTACTTCATTCCCTTTTCATAATCTGCCTGACAAAATTGCGTTCCTCCGGACAAAGAAATAGCACTAATCAGCTCATGTTTTATTTTCTGATGTAATTTGCTGCCTACATCTTCACATCAAAGTTTATCATTCACTCTCACTTCTACCTGTAGATGTGTTTGCTGTTCCCTTTTCATGGCCACTGTTCTCAGCCTGCTAGTGGCTGTGTTCTTCCTCTGTCAGGATTTCATTCGTGCTGCTTTCCTCTCTGCTTGGTGTTTCTTGCAGCACTTCGATGACCTTTCAGGTACCAGAGGGAAGGAGAATGCTTTTTTTTGTGCATGCCAAGTGTCACTAGACATGACCTTATTAGTACATTCTGCTTTCCTTTAAAGTCTCCATCTTTTCCCTCTTCATAAGATCTCTTCACAGACTTTTGCCCATGTCCTGGGCCTCAGCTCTTTGTCATGTGCCTGTCTCCTGCATTCACCTCAAATAGTCTTGTGCATTGGAGTGAAAACTGCCCTGCACTGGGAATCCAAGTGTCTGTTTCAGCCACTTCCCATCTTGTTTCCTGACTTGAATGGAAATCGTTTCAACTAGGAAATACCCTTCTTCCCACTTGCATTTTTGTTATGCTGCCTCTGCTGGTTTCTGCCAAGTGCTCAGGAGACAAGTTTTCTTGTAAACACAAAGTGGTACTGCAGTGAAGTTATTACAAAGCCAACTAAAACTGCTTGCTTGGAAGAAAATTTTTTGTAGTGGATGATTTGAGGAACATAGTTCTTAAGGGTGATGTGTCTCTGTTTTCATTCATGTTGCAATTGAAACACCTGCTGTACTGGTACTCTAGCTGTACTTGCTTGCTTGCAGCACTATGCTGGGTGGAGTGTTCCTCCCAAACCCTTGTGGTTAGATGCAGTAGAAATGCTAAGGAAAGGAAATTGGTTGAGGGAGCAGCCCAGAGAGCTTGTAGATAAAGGTAGGGAAATATAAGAAAGTACAGGCTGAAAGAATGAAATCCTTTTAGGAAGGGTACTGTCGATGGTCTCTCCACATCTGTGCCCCTCTCAGTTTTGAGTTTCTGTGTGTTTGCATGCATGTGGAAGGGTGCCTTAGCAAAGGAGAGTTGCAAGGAGGATTAGAGGAGGGCATTGAGAACATTTGCAAAAGCTGTTCCATATGAGGTAGGAGCATGTGCCAAGTGCTAGTTTGAAACATTCCCGAGATGGTGATGGTAGCTGACGTCATGCACCAATAAGAGGTACAAACTGACCTCTTGATACTGTCAGAGAGAAGATAATGAAGTTGGGAAAAGTCAAGACAAGCCACCTATTTTCCATGGAAGGGAATGGAAGACAGGGAAGAGAGGCAAAAGTACCATTAAAGTGACAGAGCAGGATAATGAGATTTTTCTTGTAGGAATGAGAATGATAATGTTACTTTGGTCAATACTTGATTACGAGGTGTTACAGTGACTGAAACCCAGTCTAGTCTCAGCTACTTGCTTTAGTTGGGTGAGTCAATAGGGAAAGACTGTAGATGGTCATGTGAAGAAGACAACTCGTCCTAGTCAGGGTGTGAAGATTTAGGAATTCAGTCAAATAGGATTGCTAGCTTGTCACTCTGATTGGCAGGGAAAATAGTGAACTTTTCCAGCAGGGAAGAAAAGCAAAAAGTAAGGGGTAGGTAGCAATATGAGATTAAGGGCTTAGTTTCTCCTCTTGGCTTAGAATTAGTGCCTAGATATCCAAGAAACATAAAAGAAATTGAGATTTTTCGAGTCAGGAAGAAATGGCACTGTGCTGGCTGCATAGATAAAATAGTTACTGTCCATGTGTAACACTGGGAAAGGACAGAACCCCAGAGACCCTAGAATACCAGAGGATAGTGGCCTATGATGGGGGCGACCCCAGTCCTGCTGGTTAAAGGGGACAATGAAAGGGAAAAGATGAAGGTTAATTTAGGCAACGGGAGCAGAACTAGAGGGGGATAGGTAAGGAAGCTGAAGGAGGATGAAATTTTGAGAAGGGAAATGTGATCAGATATGTCTGTGGTAGCAAACAAGTCGGAAAAAACGAAACAAGAAAATGGCTCTGAATTTTGGGTAAGGATTTGGGGTGTAAGTGAGAAGGAAGTGAGGAAAAGGAAGTAAGAGGAGGGAACTTCATGGACCTTTTACAGATCAAAGGCAGAAGAGAGATCAATGACACTGACATGCAAGTAGGGTCAGAAGTAAATTTTTGGTCTGGAGGCTTGTTTGGAGATTCTGAAAAGGGTTTGTTTTGGGAAATAAGAGTGGGTGAGGAGAGATGGCAAAACGTGAGTAGGCAAATGTGAAAGGAGGGTACTAAAGCATTAGAGGAGGAGAACGAACGGAGATCAAAGATGTTTAGAATTTATTTTGACACTATGGAGGGGTGGGTGTATGTGAAGGACACCCATCTGTTCCTTTGAGATAACGGAAGGAAATAGGTCACTAAGTGAGCACAGAAAGCGAAGGGCATGGGGAATTAATAGACTGATTGGGTTGAAGGAGAACTTGGCTGTGTGCATGGGTTTGATTTGTGAAGTGTCATATTTGCTACATGCTCTGTAAATCTCCATTTCTTGATTATGTTTTTGCAGTGCGGCTCCACGACAGTATTTCAGAAGAAGGTTTCCATTACCTCGTCTTTGATCTGTAAGTGTCTGTCTTTGGCTTTGATTCTTCACCAGTGATATAGGCATGTGGATGGTTGACTAAGGGTGGAATTAAAACCACCTACATTAATATAATTCTCCCTTTTTCTTTTGAGACCTGTAGATACCTCTGGCCTATTTGACAAATAGCCATTGACTGTGTGGTAGGGGATGGACCAGGAAGGCTCCTGGCAGCAGGTGGAAGCATGGGATGGCAAGGGATGGCTATCCTGTATAGGGAGGCTGTTGGACTTTTGTCTTTGAGGCAGCCTGGAGGGAGTCAGAGGAGCAGTGTTCTGCCTGAGAATAGCATATACTAAGCTCTGTAGAGGTGCATGGGCAATTCGTGCCCAGTGTGTCAACAGTGTCCTGTACACTGCTGGTGAAATGGCAGTCCAAGGGGTCAGTTGCATGGATGTACCGGTGCTGGTGCCATGATGGTGGAGCTCTGCCCTGGCTCCCCTGTGCCACAGGGCCCCACACAGGCTGTGGGAAAGGGCCCAGATGGGTGGCCACGTGTGTCCTGTGCAGCCTTGAGCTAGACACGCGTGGGGTCTGTAACCTCCCTTGTTCTTTTGCACTTTAGGGTTACTGGTGGGGAGCTCTTTGAGGATATTGTTGCCAGAGAATACTACAGTGAAGCAGATGCCAGGTAAGACTGTTTCCAGACCCTCCTGTGTATGTGCCACATGTGTTGGCAAGTGGAATGAATTTCCTGACTGCTGTTCTGTGCATGGCTTTGTTCTGACACTCTTGCTCCCCATCTGGAAAAAACGATTCCTCTTTCTGCTATTAGCATAAACTATTGTCACCAGCCAGCCTGACTCACCGCAGCTCTTGCCCTTGCTGCTTGCAGACGCTGCTGTCTTTGCCACTTGCAGACGCTGTGCTCTTTGCTGGGAGACCCGTTGCTAGTGACTTTGCCTGACTGACCTTTCTGGCAGGCGGTGACTGTGTCCTTAGTGAGCAAACCTAGGGGAGAGCTGTCCTGTGGCTGTGGGAGCGCTGCCTGCTTGGCTTCTGCCTTCTCCTGATAGGGGTTTCAGTGATGTGCCATTGCTGTTGGGCAGACCCATTCAATTTGCCGGTGTCTAGGTAATGGCTTATGGGGCAGGAGGGAGAGAGGGCTTTGTAGGCTATGTTTCTGTGGAAACCTTCTCCAGCTGTGAGCTGGCTGGTGCAGTAAGATAAAGCACAATATGTGAAAGCAACCTTAATATTTTAATATTGAAGATTTATAGTATGCCCTTCTTTTTCTGAGTGTGTCCCTTCTCTCCCATGTATGAGCTTCCTGAAGTGGCCCGTGCTTGTCCTTTTGCTGTTTATGCAGGGTGGGCGTTTTGTGCAGCAGTAGCTCAGGGTGTTCTCTGACCCGTCTGTCTACTGGACATGTAGCATTTGGATTCAAAGCTGAGATTAGGCAGCTCCTGTTCCGCTTTACCAGGACCTGGAAGTGGCCTGATGATGATGTTTCACCCTGCTTACTTGGCACCTGTATTTCTTATCGCATCCTAACTCTTGCTGGAGCAGGCATTAGGGGAGCTGTGAGAGGAGAGGGGTAAGAAGGGAGTAGTGGGTACTGCTCCAGGGTGAGCTTGGTAGGCAGTATTGTGAGGAAGATCATACTGAGTGCAAAGAAGGAAAGAGCATGACCTGGTGTGTTTGTATAGGTACAGCTGTGGAGTCTGTTTGCTTTCCCAGTGATATGCTTACAGCCCCTGTTTTCTGGGCATTGCACAATGATTTCAAACGAGGCATTGCACTGCATGCTCTGCCGTGAGCTGTCTGCTGATAGGGAAGGCCAGTAAGCTTGTCATCTTTGATGAAGCTTCTGGCAGAGATATCTGAGAGCCTTGTAGATGTTTTCAGTGGGGTATACAGATGTTGTAGGCATAGCATCTCAGACAGATACACAGTCACTTAAGCCATTCTGCCTTGAAGTACTGAGGCTATAAGCCATCATGTTTCCCCCTATCCCTCTTGCCAGTGCCTGTTCCCTGAAATGGTCAAGAGCTGGCAGTGACCGACAGTGCTCAGGAAAATTATGGCAGGGTTAGTGGAAAAGGAGAACTGTCTGTTGCTCTGTGAGCCTTCCTCAGGGTGCTCAGCCTTCTGACTGTCAGCTGGCCAGGTCTCACAGTACCCACAAGATGACAGAGTGAAACTCCTCCCTTTCTCTCCCCATGCCGAGCTGAATTCCAGAGCAGGCTGGGAGAGCGAGGGAGTGAGGTCCGTGCCAATCTACTGTGCTTGGCTCGCCTGGGACACCTCACACTTTTGCCATTTTTGGCCAGAAAATCTCTCTCGCTCAGACTCGACTCTGTTCTAATTATACATTTTTGTTTTGGGAGTGGGAAGATATTCATGGACTCCGACCCTGAGGATTGTACTGGCAACTCCAGAGGGGTGGGGGTGGCAAATACACACTGCTGCACCTCTTCTTCATTACCTCGCTCTCTTCCCATCTTTTCCAGTAGCCAATCTCCCTTCCCTCAAATTTGTTCCCTTGAGATGTGTAGAATTTGGTGAGGGCACTGACCGACCCTGCAGTGAGGACAGACACATCTGAGTTGCCCACATCTGGGTGCTTCCTGCTAAGCCATAGTTGTCAAAATCCCTGCTCCATTCCACATTCACCCTTGCGAGTTGAGTAAATGTTTAGTGGAAGAGATGTTTTCAACCAGAAATCTCACCCATGGGTGTGTTGCGCTGTCCTTATGCAACCAGTGTAAATAACATCTTTTGCCCCTGTGGTTACAGCAGTGAGAGTGGCAGAGACATGGTTTTCTGTGAGCTGGGGGAGTGCAGCACACTGCACTTAACAGGGAATGAGTCTGCTTTTCAGATCACTAAGCCCTTAAGTGGGATCTGTACTTAAAAGGCACCCAACAAGCGGGTGTGTGCGCACATTGTGTATGCAGAGTGCTTGAGATGCTGCTCTGAAAGCTTGGCAAACTGGCAGGCACCCAGGAGTCATCATCCTGAATTTGCCAGGGAAGGCTGCTGCTCTCTAAAAGTTTATTCTTTGCTTGAGACTAGCCCAGCTGAATGTTTCCTGGAACAGTTGGGTCTTGCTTGTCCAATCTCAGCTGCTGTTTGCTGATACTCTGATGCCTTGGTTCTCCTGTGTGGGGTGGGCACTGCTGGCTGAAGGAGCAAGCGAAATGCTTGATGTGATGGGGAAGAAAGGAAGGAGATGATGTGAAGTAGGAAAGAGCTTTGTGGTCCTGCTATAGATAGGGTGTTTAGCATCCTGTTGCTGAGGGGGTGGGGGGTGTCCAGCTGTGACAGTACTGAGCTGTATCATCTGGTGGGCAGGGTGAAGGGATTCAGCCTGGGATCTTGAACTCTTCCTGGTACAAATGTAAAAGTTAGGGAAATAGTTCTGGGATGAGATGAGATGCTAAGTGTATGTGTGTGTGTGCATAACTCTGTGTGTCTCTCCCTTTATCTTGCAGCCACTGTATTCATCAGATACTCGAGAGTGTGAATCACATTCACCAGCATGATATCGTGCACAGAGACTTGAAGGTAATATTTCCTCCATGCCACAGAGGCTGAGGAGAGCAGCCAGGGGATCACTGGAAGAGGCAAGACAGGAATACTGTGTTGCCAGCTGGCAGTGGTTTTTTTACTTGAACTAGGCTCAGGGGAGACTGAAGGACAAATTTGCTCCTTCAGAGTTTTCTGGAGGGTGTGATGAACTCCTGAGGAAGTTTTCAATCTTCATGAACCTTGCCGGCTCTCATCCTCTCTGAGACAGCTCTGGGATGGAGTAGTGAACCTTGGATGCAGTAGGCTTTCAGAGAAACTTGGGTAGGATTCATTATAATGAAGGACACTTTCTAGTTGAAGAGATCTGTAGAGACCTGGGGCAATCTCTGTTCAATCTGCCAGGATGAGTTTGTCTGCACAAAGCATGTATATTTTTATTCTGCACTGTTGCCAAACACATGCCATTGGGCTAGGGCAGAGATTCACAACAAGAATTTTTCATGTAATTTCTTTCTTCCCTCATCAGTAGAAGTGCTTTTAATCTAAAACCAAAACTGCTGGCCAGTTAAACACTGGGTGAATCAACCATTTGCCACATTATACTTTTATAGACCCAAAGTCCCCACAGTGTAGTTACTTAAATTCCCTTCCCACACAGTACCAGCTGTACTGGGAGCTGGGCAGGCTCCAGAATGAAGAGGTTTTTGTGGAAAGGTCTGGCTGCCCGGCAGCCCTTTCTGTCTAAAGTGGGAATGGTGATGGCCACCAGTGGCCCAGTTAAATTAATGCAGGATGACACCTGCTAGTAGTGTTGGTTTTGGTTTGTTACACAATGTGTAAGGGAAAAAGCAGAAAAATATTTTTCAGAGAGCAAGGTAAAAGCGTGTTACAAGCTGAGTGGCAGTGTTTCTCCTGGTGTTTTGATCTAGTGGACAACTGTTAACCCTTAGTGTTTCTTTTCTGGGAAACTCCCATATAACACTTTCGACTTTCTGATTCAGAGCACTGTGAAAAGATGCAAGTGATCTACTGTGGAATAGCTGCTCTGGATTAGAGCTGACACCTGCTCTTGAGAAAACAGTCTACATGAGCCACTACCATCCAAAATTAGGGCCTCTATGAAAATTGTTAGTGTTTTCCAGTAGAAGATGGTTTAAGTTTTCCTTTGCTTCTTGTGTTCAGATATATTCTGTTTTGCTTCCCAAGTTTTGTTTGTGTGAAAGTTGTGAACTTGTTTAGAATTTATCAGCTGCTAGACACTCCCCACTGTAGTTAATGTGTTTCTCCTGTTGCTTGCTGATTCACTGAAACTATCCAGGCCTGAGGAGGAGCCATTCTTTTTAGCAATAAAAGATCCCATGCTCTTTATTTAATATTTAGCTCCTTGCCAAAATGTTGGCCTTCAGGATCAGTGTGTAATAACTGCAGAGTTTGCTTCAAGTGAAGTTTTGTCTTTTGCACCTCCCTCTCATAAGCCTGTCTTTTGGCTGACATGCTCTTACAGAACTTGAAATGCTGAGCTGCCCATAGGGACCATAAGAAATTAGGCAATGCATTCACATCCTTACCAAAACGTATGTGAAACCTGAGACAACCCATATGTTGGCAAACATGCACATGGATAAGCACCGTTAGCCTTAAGGTGTTTGTGCTTAGCTAGCACAATCCAGGCCTAAATTTCACTGTTTCTTAGTCAAGCCAAGCCCAGGTATTATCTGAAGTTGGGAGGGATTTTCAGAAGACTTTATCAGTCTTCTGCTTTAGGGACTTGTTTACACTGGTGAATTTTCATCAGTGTAGCTTGATTAACACATTCTTTTCTACTTCCCATATAGTGAAAATCCAGTATCATCCAAATGTATTGAGACCTAGTTCCCCCTCCTTCCATGCTGCTTATGGCAAGGACTGTGGTGGGCAAGGCTGCTCTCCCTGCATTCAAAGCAGAAGCAAGGCACATGCCCAGTACTTTAAGGAAAGTGAATGTGCAAAGTATCTTGGTTCTGTCAGGCAGAACAGGGATAGAGGGTTACCATGGGATGAAACTGGGGAGCAGGCTGCAGAAAAGACCTTCATCAGATTTATGAAACTGAGACAGGCTCCTGTTTCTCGATTTCCAGGCTTCCGTCTTGCTCAGTTAAAAACTCAAGTTGATCTGAATTGCACAAATGATCAGAAGGGGGTAGGATGAGAAATCATATTTGTCCTGCCAGTCTGCAAGTTGGGCTTCCTGCAGATCTGTAATAGACACCTCCTTAAAGGCTTTGGGGTTTCAAAGGGTCCTGTGTAACTAGCTGCTCTGGTGCTTCAGAGGAAGCTGCTGACTCTCGGTACAATTTTTGGAGTTGTGTTAAGCCTTCTGCTGAAGTCTTCTGCTGGAACACAACAGAATTATGTTTCAAGTGAGATTCATGTGAGGGGCAGAAGTCTGTCTCCCTTTCCTGGCAAATGGGGGAAGTGACAAGGCTGCTTGTTGTATGGGTGACAGTGGCAGTAGCAAGACAACATATTTTATGCTGCTGTAAATATGAAAAAACAGCTTACAAGAATACTCACTGCTGTGCTGCTTATGCCAATTTGAGGGTGAGGCTTTTTCTGTAAGGGATGAAAGCTACTGCCTATCCAGATGATGCCTTCCCACATTACGGTGCTGTATTTGGCAGCCTTTATTAACATCATATTTACTTTTCCAGTGCCTTGGGGACTGTGTAATGATCATGGGGAGAAACATCACTGCAGATTGTATCTACTGCATCTTCCCTCCCTTTACTTCCTCCCCCAATCACTCTCTGCGGGGATGATAGAAACAAATTTTGGGTTCTGTGCTGCAGGAACTGTACTGCCAGTGCCCTCTGGTGTCAGCATGTAACATATGGGCTGGGCTGGGAGAGGCTCTGGCTCCCACAGAGAATTTGTGTTAGACTTAAGGATTTTTCAGCCACTTGCGGTCAAGGCCATTTGTTGCTGTTGCTCTGCCTTCATCTGAACAGCTTCAGTACATGCCTGCTAAATTCAGTCAGCAGATTGAATTTAATGATGTGAATACTGAGGTAGGAGGCTTCAGTGAGGATGTCAGTCTTCCATTCTTACCCCTTTTTTTCTTTCTTCTCCCCAGCCTGAGAATTTACTACTGGCAAGTAAATGTAAGGGTGCTGCTGTCAAACTGGCTGACTTCGGACTGGCTATAGAAGTCCAGGGAGAGCAGCAGGCCTGGTTTGGTAAGAGTGTTTGAGCTTTCCCACTTTTATTCCCCTCTCTCTTAGTGGCTGATTGAGTTGCACGCTCCCTGAGCACTTTTCTTTCAGCTCTTCCCGCACACTTGTGTGTATTTGGCATTGCTGCTTCCCTTCCAAGAATCTCATCCTATGAGTCCTTGGGCAGAAGCCTAGGTGCAATATAGGAAATATTATGATAAATAAAGACAGGAAAAATGGCCATGTATTTCTCTATTTTTCTTCTCGGTTTACAGTAGATGCTAGTGTCAGAGATGAATGCAGCTGCTAAGTTTAGACCCTGATCTGAACTTTCCTATTGCTCAGGAGTGTAGACATCTGGAATTTTGTTTGGTCATTTTACAGAAATGCACTTGACCTGGCCTTCCCCAGGCACATTTGGATCTGGCCTTATCGTTGTTTAGCTAAAACATAATTAGAAATGAGATCTTTTCAGGCTAAACATCAACTCTGAAGCTCTGCAGTGCTGCAAAGATTCTGGAGGGATGGCTACTTCTCGTAGTCTGCCCACACCATCTGGCAATCGGATGTGTCCCATCTGTGTCTTGAGTTTACAAACTGCAAGCCATTATATATAACAATGATATAAGGCCTAGAATATGAGTTTGTGCTCAGCTGGTTGACATGGTCAACCTCTTTCTTTTCTGTTTTTCCTGCGGTACCTAGGCACTTGATCCCATCTAATTTTCTTTATTTTTTTTTTTCTTCTTTCTGTTGGTTTACGAAGAGGTAGCTCCTAGCAAATATGAGATGAAGGGTGGGAAATGGGTTTTGAAATTTGTTGGTTACCACGAGTGGATTTTGTTGCATGCCAAGATCTCTTCTGCTTGGGTACTGTAAGTACTTCATGTCATCCATTTCCTGGCAGGGTTTGCTGGCACTCCAGGCTACCTCTCCCCCGAAGTCTTAAGAAAAGATCCTTATGGAAAACCAGTGGATATATGGGCATGTGGTAAGATTCTGTCAAAATGTTTTACACTTAAATAGCACTGTTTCATGTAGAACAGCAATTCCTTATAACCTATTGCTGGGAGGGCGTGCAGTGCTCCTTCTTATTGGGTGGAAAGATGAAGGCAACTTGAGGATAAGCACCTTGTGTAGATGGAGTTAATATTGGAGCCTGAACTCATTTGATTCTGGCTCCTAATCCTTTCCTCAGGCAATTTATCAGATGTTTGAGACTGAAGAGATAGGACCTGTCTATGCTTTGCAGAGTCAGTTATTTAGATAACTGTAGCAATTTCCTATTACACTATGTAGAAGATGAAATACTGAAGAGAGTTGATTTTTTTAAAAGGAAAAAAAGAAGTGTAAATGTATCTGGGACCAATAACTTTAAAGACATATGATGTCAGTGTTGCCTGACATGGACTGAGTGGTTCTCTGCAGTCCAGGAGTGTTAGCTTTTTCAGTGTCATTTTTGTCCCAAGACCATGAGCAGTAAGCATCTAAAACCATAGTCCTTCCTAAAAAGTCCTGTGCTGCCCAGAAACCCCAGGGTACGTGGCTTCATTTTATTCTGAGAGTGGCTGGAAGTTGTGGCACACCAGCCATGGTAGCCAGGGGAGGGTAGAAGGACATCATCCACCTTGTTCTAGCTCCTGGCAGCTGGCATTAAGAGTAGAACATTGAAGTGCCAGGGTGAGATTCAGCAAAGGAGAGATTTGTACTGTCTTTTGTTACCTCGGAAGGCTAAATGTGATAACAAATGAAGATCTAGAGCAATCATTGCCTTGGGGACTGTCAAGAGGGAAGGAAGAGGGGCTGAAGGAATAATTGGCCTATTAGCCTAACCATAGTGTATCTGTGTCTCTCCCTCCCAGGAGTGATTCTGTACATATTACTAGTGGGGTACCCTCCCTTTTGGGATGAAGATCAGCACAAACTCTATCAGCAGATCAAAGCCGGAGCCTATGACGTAAGGGCACTTTCTTGCTGAGTACCTGCATGGGTGTAGAAGCCATCTGAAACATGGCACTATCTTACTTGGTGTCCAGCAGCAGGCCCCAAGCTACTGTGCAAAGCGATGTTTGGCATGTTCATACACCTCGCTGTCTTCACTGACTGGGATACAGTCCTGTTTGGGGCTGCTGAAAGTATCTGTGGAAAGCATTGCAGTGAGCACAAAGACACTACTGGCCATTAGGGAAATGCAGAGCTGGAAATGCAGATGGTGGGAAATGGTGGCTTCTAGTGCATTTACCACAAAGTGCTGCAGACGTAGCCAATGCTCACTCTTTCAGGGGAGCAGAGGGAAGGTAGAATGAAGGACCCTGTCTTTATTAAGGCCTAATTAAAAGTACGGGGAAGTATTCTGTAGAGTAAGAGCTTAAATAATTGCCTCTGCTCTCCTCAGTGCCATAGTGGAATTTCTTCCAGCCATGGAAAGTGGGAAGCCCAGTGAGAAGACTGAATGGCAGGGGCCTTTGGAGGGGTGGCTTTATGGTGGGGATCAGTGTGGTGGGTTGGAGGCTCTGGTAAAAAAACAAAGCAGTTCATGGAACCGTTATCGTAACATGGCAAAAAGGTGCCTGAAGAAGAATAGCAAGGAGGTTAGTACTGGGGAGCAAAGGTGGTGTAAAATGTGGTTTGGGTACTACAGCTTGAATGTTTGACATGAATTCTTCTATGTAAGGAGAGTCTCAATCTGAGCTTAAAGCCTGTGGGTATGAATATCAAGAGGAAGTTGGGGGGTTAATTTTGTAGGCTGTTCTGTCGTTTGTATTTTAAAAAAAAAAAAAAAAAAAAAAAAGCAGCAAGTGTTCTGCTGGACCCCATTTACCTCTCAGCTTTTGTGCCTGAGACCTTGAGATCGACTGCACTGGTGAGAACAAAGGTGTGCTTAACCCTGTGCCCTGGCTCAGTGGCTTCCTGAGTGAAAGAAAAGTGATGTCTTTGTACTTGATAGCCTTAAATGGACTTGTGTTCTTCTCTTGCTTTCCTGCCCCTCTCATTTCTGTATTGCTTGTTCTTATTTGAAGTGGTTTTACACTAATTATATCAATGGGGATTTTCAGAGCACTTGAGGGGTTAAATGTCTAACTCTTTCTGTAAGTCATGAGGAGTGAAGTGCCTGATGCCTCCTATCTACCTGTTGGTTTTGAATTCTTACCTATAATGTACAAGTACCAGTAGATTTCTCCCCTGTTTTGCCTGGTAGAAAACCACTCAAGTTTTACCGGTGTACCTGCCTGTGGTGTCCTTACCCCAGCACCGAGGGACCTGTATAAGCACTGGGCTGGCCTGTTGTTCTCTCTTGACCATAGAAGAAGTGAACTGGACTTTATGCTGTTGGGTAGGGATTTTGCAAGGCATTACCATGAATACTTCAGAGTTCAGGTGGGGAGAAAGTGTCCTGGCTTGAAAGCTCAGTATCATAATTTTTGAGCAGTCTCTTGCAACGTTTGCAGAACAAATTGTGTAATGCCTTGCTAATGCCTGAGAATGCAGAAATAAATTTATATACAAATCAAATATGGTGGGTGTATTTTTAGGACCCAACTGAGCAAAGCACAAAATGCAGGAGAAAAGAGGTAGAATAAACTTTTTCTAAATAATGTGGTACTGTAAGGAAGTATTCTCAGGATAGATCGATCTCCCCCACCTGCCCCTTAAAGATAGGGGATTTTATCCCAACAGTACATTTATCTTTGTGTTCTCAAGTTCACCTATATTTGTACAGTAGATTCATAGGAGTGAGATGTACTGCATTTTATCTCAGCAGGTTGTCATCTATACCACATTGCAAGCATCTGGAGAGTGGTGTAAATATCTCATCTTTACCGTTACTGGAATTATAACAGAGCGCATTTACCCCTCATGGGTGACCAGCAGCTGGAATATTTGAGAATCTTTTCTTTGCTCCATGCGTCTGTATTCCCATCCACTATTACATATCTCTTACTCCCCAAGTAATGATTTCTGGTACGGTAGATGCTTGCTAACAACATGCTGGTAGGTTGCTACACCTAAGTGGCCGGTATTGTTCCAGGATATTGTGCTTTATGGTGGGGAAAGTATACCTGATGGGATGTTCTTGGTTAGCAGTTTTTGCTTTCATGAGGTTTTGCTGTAGTTAAGTGTTTGTGATTTTGCATATGCTGTTACAGCTTTTTAGCATGCTGGACAAAGAGCGAGGTGGGGTAAAAAAGGTAGTGCTTTGTTTGTCATGTCAGAACTCAGTTAAAAAGATCTGTGACTTTACTTTTTTTGACTGTTGAGTATGAAAGAAATTCAAAGGATTCCTTAAAAGCTTTTAAACTGTTAATCTTCCTGCCTGTGTCTGATGAATGGTACAGATGTGTCCTGCTGTCTGGTACCATTCACTTTCTGTATTCTGTATGATTTTTATTCAAGATGGGTTTTCACAAAAATGGATGTTTTTTGCAAATACGTTAGCCCTGGTATCAAAAGGGCAAAAACTGGAATTCAGCTTTGTAGGAAGGAGGATCTCTTCAGCTAGTAGAAGATATTTTCAGTTCATCATCTGTTCCTTCTTCCTCTTTCAGTTCCCATCACCTGAGTGGGACACTGTGACTCCTGAAGCAAAGAATTTGATCAACCAGATGCTGACGATAAACCCAGCAAAGCGCATCACAGCTGACCAGGCTCTCAAACATCCATGGGTCTGCGTAAGTGTTTTCCTCTATTACAGACTGATTTGTGGTTTGCCCTTAACTAACATGTCAAGAAGACTTCACTGCAGAGGAAACCAGATTATTTTAATTATTTCAAACTGTGATTTTTTTTTTTGGAGGCTGACCTTCAACAAGCCAACTCTGTCATGCTGTGGTGCTTTTATTGCCACTGTAGGAAAAAAAAAAATCCTTCTTTTAGAAGTTTTTTTGAATGTCCATAGTTTCTGGTTTTCCCCACATCTCCTCTTCTAATCCATATCATCCTAAAATGTCAGATGGAGTTTGGCATCAGACAAAATACTTCAGGATTATTTTGTTCTTCATCTCTAGTTCAGTTTATTGCATTGCGTCTTTGTGATGTTGGAACATTTCTTCTGTGCTGCAGTTTAACTGGCTGTAAACTTGAAATCAGCAAAAAACCTCCTGCTGTTCTGTGTATGTAGTTTCTGCCTTGCCAGACCCCACACATAAGTATTTTTCATCTTTAGCGAAGTTGGCAAGGAAATTCCAGAATGCAGCTGGGAGTGGGCGTAGGGGAGGGCAGCAGTGGTGCACTTTTATCTCTGCAGGATGAAATAGTTCTACCTAAGTCTAACCAGATGCTCATGCAATACCATAGCATACTTCTGCTTTCTAGGATCTGTCTAGTGTGTTCCTTTGCCCCTTTGTTCTTGAGAAACTGTGATGTTTTTTTCCTTCCTCCACAAAACAACAAATTAGCAATTTAAACTTACTTATGTAAACATCTGTGTAACAGGAGTGTAGTGTCTCCTTGTAAAGTGATGCAAGTTCCTTGGAAGTAAAAACTTCACACTAGCTGAAACTTCGCATCTGTTTTTTCCACCTTGCATTCTTGTAATCAATAGCTGTTCCTGTATATTTAACTTTTGTCCCAATGCCTGTAACCAAAGCTGTATGTGTTATGATGGCTCACTCCCTTTGGCAACATAATATAGAACAGTTCAACAGAGGCTTTCCTTCTCTGAGTTATGGAGAGTTCTATTTCACTACAGCCATTTCAGCTTCTCACCCAAACTGCCTCCTGTTGAGTCAGTTCTTTCCGTTTGCTCTTCAGTCTCTGTGTGTGCAACATATGTTTTCTTTCTGGAGAGGTATTGCTCCTTGGAAGTAAATGTGGAGGAAATTTTATAAATTTATCTGAGACACTGAGTTTCTTAGCATCACTGAACTTCTGAAGTGCATGTCCTCACTCTTGCCACATGGAACAAGAGGACATCACTGTCACTCGTAAAGAGGCTGGATGAAGTGATCACCAAAGTTATTAGAGGACAGTTTAGCTGCATTCTCCCTCCACACTGCTGTGTGTACTGCAGCAGGTGACTAGCTTTGATGACAGTAAGCAGAGACTTACCATGAAACTGGATGAATATGAGCATGGTTTACACTTCTTTTGGGTATTGCAGATTTTTTTCCAAGCAGGAGAAAGGTAATGGAGGGTTTGTACACACTGATCTACCAAGTTAGTAATTCACTCACTGTCCATATAAAGGGAATTCAGGCTTGTGGCTCAATGCAAGAGCAGCAGTTACTTGGCATTTGTCTCTGGTTTCCTCATGTGCTCTAAATGCCCGGCAGCATCAGTCTCTGGTTTCCCCTTATGTGCTCTGAATGACTGGCAACACTTCTGGGAAGTCCTGTTTTTGCAGCTGATGGGATCCCAGTCTGCTGGGGGCGACGGGTATGCATCTCTTGCTAGAGGTTAGGCTCAGGTTTTTGCATTGGTACAATACAGCTCTATGATCTTTTCTCTTACACACTGAAAATCTGTTTCTGCAAAACTGATATGAAGATGCCGAGGCTTCTGCTAGTCAAGAACTTATGTTCAGGGAGTTACTATGTCCAGGAAGGGTACTGCTCCCTAGTATTCACTTCCTGCTTGGAATTTCCCCTTAGAACCATAACTAATGCAACCCAGATCTTTTCTGTAGTGCCTCTCAGTCCCCCGTGGGTGTGCTTGTTCATTTGACTTTGTCTTCTGACTGTCCTGATTTGTGTGCCTAAGAGACAGGGAGCATTGATTCTCACCTGTACCTCAGTCATAGAATTTCTTGGCCGCAGTCCTGTAATAGCCAACCTTGACTTAACATGTCCTGCTGTCTTAAGTTATGAACTGATTGCAGTGTTTTGCAGCCATGCAGTGGAGAGAGGCTTGGCCATGTCAGCTTGCATGTCACGGTTGTGTGCAAGTGGAGCGAACTCCTTTGGCTGTTTTGGTTAGGGGTATGTTCTTTATCTTTTGCTGTTCCTGTTTTTCAGCAACGATCCACTGTTGCTTCGATGATGCACAGGCAGGAGACTGTGGAATGCTTGAGGAAGTTCAATGCTAGAAGGAAGCTAAAGGTAAGCATATATTAGTTTGCCTTAAGTTTGGTTTTAATCCCCTGATTTTGAGATTAATATCTTCCCAACAACAATTTTTTTTTATTATGATTAGCTCACTAATGTCAGTGAAGTACTTTATGTGGTCCTTCAGTACAGTATATTCAAGTATTGTATTGAAGAGCTGGGTAGTTTCTTTCTCCAAAGCTGTAAGTTTCCAATGCCTCTTCTGATCCATAATCACCCCTTCTACTTTCTGCAAGAGAGTTGAAATAGAGCAACTAGTTCTTAAATTCTGGGGCTTTTAGTTCTGGTCACTGTCTGCCTCCCAGTAATAGTGTATCAGTTGCCCGTAGGTAGGGCAAAGCCTCTGGCTGTGCATGCAGCAGCTATCTGCTGTTTGAAAGCTAGGAAGCAACTGTGTGCCTAAGCGTAACTCCTAGTGCCATTTTAGATTTCCTAGTCTATGCTGACTGTTCTCTAGCTGCTGCTCTAGAAAGGCAGGACTCCAGGAGGTCCCATGTCAGGTCCAACAGCCACATGTGGGATTTCTGGATACACTAGGACTCTCCACGTAGCGTCGGGATACTTCTGCTTTGACACCTGATGTACTGTTCTCCATGGGTCAGCCCAGCCCCTTGCTGAAGTGAGTGACACTGTCTGTTATCCCTGATTTCTCTTCCCCACAGGGTGCAATCCTCACGACAATGCTTGTGTCTCGGAATTTTTCAGGTAAGTTATCACTGCTCCCATTTCTTCCTTGGTTTTGTTTTGAGTGAGTGAGTCAGGGGATATTTTAGCCGTTTTGGGGTTGAGTAGGAGGGGAGGAAACGTGTTCACAATTCGTCGTGGTGTAATGGTGATCGCTTTGGTTTGTCTGGTGACCAGTGTGAAATAGGAAGTGATTTGTTTAGGGAGGAGCACATGGTGCTGTTATCTGGTACAAAACAGAAATTAAGTCAGCTGCCACAATCCTCTGATGATGTTTTGTTACCATATTATTTCTGGGAAATGCTAGCTGGCATTTGTTAGCTTTTACATCTGAAACCAGGAGTTGGGAACTCTCATTAGGTAGCAGTGATTCCTTTAGACCAGAGGCAGGGACACAGGGCAAGTAATAATATTGGTGAGAACAGGGACAGAAGCTGTTTGGGTATTGTATTACTTTGACTCATCAAAAATGAGTCTGAAGCATCTAGCTATTAAGACTTTTCCTTCTTGGAGTCTCAGAAATGGCTTTCATCCTTTTAAGCTTAATAACTGGCTCCCACCCAGCTGCATTACGTAGTGCACTTACTGAAAATGCAAATCTCAACATGCAAATCAGTGCTTTTTGGAAGATGGTTGTCTTGGCTCAGCACATCTAGGTGATGCAGTCTTATCTGTGTTCATTTCCCTTTGGGTGGAAAACCTCTATTTGCAAGTGCTTTTGGTTTATGAGATTGTTTGCTTTCTTTGCAATTTTTTTTTCCTCTTTTAAAAAGGGCAGTCATTGAACGTATGAGTCAGATTTTTATTGCACCAGACTACAGTTACTTTCAAGTGAATGTCTGCTTTATGGATTATAAGTGATGATGAATGAAATGGAAGTGTATTATTTTCATCTGGACATTTACTAATAGTGGATACTAATATTCTGGATGATGTTACAATAAACTTCTAATTGGAATAAAAACCTCTGTGAAGCAATCATCCAAGCATTCAAAGTGCACATTCATGCGTACGTTTGAGGAACCAAGGCAGCATTTTTAACCTCCTGTATGGTGATTTTTTTTTTAAAAAAAAAAAAGGTGTGAAATCAAGCTACAATTAAGGGACAACCCTCAGCAACCTCAGAATGGTTTTACCTTGGTTCTTGCTTTCAGGTGAACCTGTGCCAGTATGTCAGGACTACTTGTGGCTACAGCAATTTTTCTTTACTGCATTTCTGATAATTTGACCTTAAAGGGACAGAGTAATTTCATCCATTCACCTGTCTCGGGATTGTTCTGTTACAGGACTTAAAAATTATACATTGTTGTCTCAGAAGGATTCTGAATTAACATTTTGAGGAGATGTGCCATGATCATGGGGCTTCCACAGGACTGTATGAAACGTGACATTTTCTTGGGCTTTCTGCTGGTGTGAACCATTCTTGATCTATTCACACAGGTTTTATTTCACTTAATTGATGGTTCTGAAATAGTCAGGCTTTTTCTTGTTTTTAAACAGCAGTTTTAGAATAATTTTGAGTCTGCAAATGTTGTCACTTCTAATGAAGCTGCAGAAATGCTTAGGTAAGGAAATCTCCTGTGGCCCAGATTTTGAGTACATGAAATGCCTGAGAGAAGGATTCTCCTTAATGGTCTGTGACCTATACATACACTTACTCCCTGAGCTAGTATTGCGGAGGAAAAGGCTTGCTCTACTCATTCTTTTCTGTCTCAAGGGTTGAAGCTGCTGGATCCGCTTCAGTTAACAGCTGAAGAAAAGGAAATCCTAGGTGGCCCATAGTGAGTGCAGAGTTCTCAGTATCACTGAGTTCTGCTTTGAATATAAACTGTGATCCCAGGTAATGAGACTCTCTGAAAAACTGTCCAGAAATACGTGTTGTGAATTTAGATGCAAAGTATTTATAGCCTCTCCCGATAGTAGCAATTCCTAATATTTTGATGTGTTTTGAAAGCGGGGAGATCAACTACTCTTGATTTCTTTGCAGCACTGTGTATAATATGAGCTTGACATTTTAAATTGTTTTTTTTCTAATTTACTTAGGTTTTTTTCTAATTGCTGCAGTTGAAATACATAAATCTGCCGTGTTTGAAGAGTAAGCGCATGCTAACCGAAAGTAAAAAGTTAGAAAGCCCATATGGGAACTTTGGGTAGAGCTCAGACTTTTCCTACTATGATAGGTCATCTAACTGTGCTTGAAAAGTTCTGAAATAGTAGTTGTTTCTTTCCATAAAGACCTTAAGGGGTTTTTATTATCTCTAATTGGGTGACACTGTTTCATGGGCCTCTAAAAGCCTCATTCCCAGCAGGCAGAGAACTAGATTTATGAAGAGAGAAGCTTCTTCCTGTCTGGGGATGAGATCTTCTAAAAGCTTCTTGACAGATGTTTTGAACCAAGAGGAAAACAAAGGCTCATGTGACCCTGGTATCAATTAATTAGGTGTGATAGTTACTATCTGCAGGAAATAGGAGAAGACTTCTTTAATCCTGTTGTCATCACGATCTCCTCTGTCACACATTTTGTAATGTGGAGTTCCTTCATTCGACAGTGTGATTTTAGCTTGTGACAAATTGTATGCCTAAAAAGTCTGCAGCAGTACTCTTTGTCTTGTTTCTCCCATCAAAAAATCTTACTTTTTACAAAGCAAAACAAAAATTTCTGTTCTGTTCAGGGGAATATGATCTGGCTCCTTTCCCCTGTTAGAGTATATTCAACAGTTGAATATTGACTGTTTGTGGTTCTTTTTAAAAAATTGTGTCTCAGATCAGCTGTAGGCTATTTGTTAAAAGCAAATACAGTTGCGCTCCTTTCAGTATAAGTCAGGAAATTGAGACCTGGTTATAATAAGGGGTTTGTAGCTTCTGCCCACACTCTGATAGGTATTTGCTCATCTGTGAGAGAGAACATTGCAATATAAACTTTGCTGTGGGATCTTTAGAGTCACACAAGGGTATACACGGGATGATTTGGGTGTGCTCTTGTGGCTTCTGATGTTCAGATGATCCAAGCAAACACTGATCTGATATGTGTTCACTTACAGAATATAAAAATACAGTCAGGTAAATCATTTGATTAGATCATATACAAGAAACTCCTAAATCACCTTCTGAGAAGTAAATGTGAATTCATTACTAGGAGTAAGTTGGCAAGGTTTTCAGAGATTCCTAATAGCTGCAGTATTTAAGGGTGCCTGGACTCATTTATGTAGATAAAACTCTGTAAGCAAGCCTACTATAAACTGAGTGAAAGGATGAGCAAAATTGATTTTCATCTTAGAAGCAGCCATCTTTACAAAGTGCTGAGAAGTGGCTTTTCTCCATAAGTTAATTTTTATGCAACACTTACAAGTGGACAACATGAAACTCATAACACTGTTTTTCTAACTGGATTGCAGCTGTTAATTTGGGGAGTTATTCAACAAGCTTTCACACTCTGTGAAATTCACTTCTCAAGTGGTTCAGCACAAGTCCAGTGTACTACCCTGTGTTTAAAACAAATCCTAAGGCAGACATTGCAGGTAATTAAGCCTTATGCCTAAAACCTCTATTTTTTACTGGTGCTAAGCTTTTTTCTTGGGAATTGTCACTGCTCACTCAGGTCACTTTTGTGAGGGAGCTATTATGGCAGCTTGTGACAATAGCTGGCATTCATTACATGTCTCTACAGATCCTTATTAACTCTGTGATGTGCAGTTTTGGGTTTTTAACTAGATAGGTGATGTTGAGAGAGGCTGGAGTCAGATCCAGGGAGCAGAGTGCTTTCTGAGTAAGTAAAGCAGGGCTGAATATGCCTGTGCATGCTTGGTGTAACCTGTACAGAGATGTTTTTGTGCTGACTAAAGAGCAAGAAGGAGGAAGTAATTTAAATACTGAAGTGGTACGGAAATATTTCCCTGTCCTGTTATATCTGCCTTCCAGAAGTGCTTGGGAAACAGAATTTTTGCTATTTCGTGTGTGCGTACATATATATATATATATTTATACTCAGATTGGAATTTGGGTTCTTTCCTTTATCCAAAGTAAAGTTAAAATTATGTGAGTAGTATATTTGAAGTTCCTGCTGTGTTCTGCTAGTTATGTAGATATCCGTTCAGGCCCAGAAATTCATATCACTGGACTCATGTGAACACTAACCTCCTAGTGTGAATTCAGAGGATGAAAATATGGAGGGGAAAGATGTATTAAGATGTTTCCAGAGAGCTTTGAATAAATAAGTATGGGATCGCTGGGAACCACATTTCCCAAGCAGAAGATGAAGTCACATTTAATGAAAAATTAAGTTGGTTTTAAGTGATTTCTCTGTATCTACTAAGTTGCTTAAGCAGTCAGGGGTTTCAGAGAATGGTGCTCAACTACTACAGTGTGGACCTGCTGAAGTGTAGTGTACTTCAGTAAGTAAACTTCCATGTTGAGGCTTCCCGCAATCACGTGTATTTCATTGCTGCATTTAGATGTTTATCACTATGGCCTGAGAGTCTAATTTATCATCAAAAGTAGATATAAATTATTATAGTAATTCCATTTACTTTTATCTTCTTCTCCCTAAAGTTTAGGAGAACTCAGTGAATGCCTTTTTTTGGTGGTGTTTGCCCCTAACCCCTTAATTTCTTCGTTTCTTAGGAAATGGAATTTTTCCAATACAGGGAATGGTGCTCTTGTATTTTATCAACTCTTGAATTTGGGACAGACTGGGACATTCAGGCTTGAAAGTCTAAGATGGGTGTTCAGACTGTTTTGACCTTTTAAGGTTCTGCTCCTGTTTGTGTGTGTATATATGCATACCTGCAGAGAAAGTGTCTTTCGGGATGTCAAATTTCTGCATTGGTGGGAAGGAAGGTGTTTGAAAACATTAATTGAAATGTCACAAACTATCAGGCTGGCTCCTGGTTTTTGGCTTTTTATATATCATCTTGCTGGAGAATGTTTTGGTTTTCTGAGGCTGGCAGAGGCAAAAAAAAAAAAAAAAAAATAAGCAGAAGACCTGGCTCCCGCACAATTTCTCCGTTATTCACTAGTGGGCGAACTGGGAGCTCTGTGGCTCATGCCAAAAGGACACCACTGGGTTGTGTATTTCAGGCTTTAGTTTTAATGGATGCTCCCTCTTTTAATCTTCCTCTGAAAACCATTGGGGCATGTCTGAGAGATGGGTGTGCATCTTCAAACACTATCTTCCCTTGAGATTTTCCCAAAGCACTGGAAATACATGCACAGTGCTAGGTACTGGCTGTGCCTGATAAGATCACCTGGATAGGAAAGGAGGTGTCTGCTATGTCTAGAGGTCCTGTGAGCACATAGAGGCTTGCATTGCCTAAAGGGTTGGGGGTTTTACCTGCCTTTCTACCTGGTTGTTTTAGAAAGAGTGTTTTGAAGTGACTGACTCTGTTTTATGACTCTTTGTTTATTCTGTAGTAGTTCTTTGAACAGAGTCACTAGTCTTGCTGAGGAATAGAAGCCCTCATTGAAGGCTTTTCGTTGAGGGGGGAAATGTTAAATATTGCTGCTTGTCTATTGCTCAGGTACGTTTCTGGAACAGTGGTGTCATTTAGGGGGCAGAGGGAGTTAATAGCAAAGCAGGATTAAAAAAAAATAAAAGTCAACTTTTCAGCAAGAGAAAGAGTTTGTGCTGTAAATTCTGCTAGGCAGTTATCCCATGCAAATTGGTTGTCTTTGTACTGGTCTCTCACAGTACATAGCATTCCTGCGCGTTTGCTATTGCAATGAGTTCCCACAGAATGTCACTGGAGAATCTAAGAGAAAGGGGACTGCTGAGACAGACACCAAAGTGAGGGTAAACGCAAGACAACTCCCCTCTATTCTGTTAAATCACTCTGCTGTGTTTAAATGGCTGCTGCTAGAGTGACTTGTGCCTCAATAGCCACCATGACAGGGAGCTGAGCATCAGTCTTTGTTCTATCTTGTGCTTAATAAAGACATGTTCTTGAAATTATGCTGCATTCACGGGCATAGTTTGTAATGGTAGCCAGAGGTGCCTCTTTGTGGCTACATACTGACAGTCAGTTGGTTTATGGTGAGCCCCAGAAGTGACATCAGATTGAGAATTTGTTAGTCTGACTTTCTTTGAAAAAGAGCTGTAACTTTGTCATTGGGAATTTTTTGTTGATATGATACAATTTTTATTTTAATATTTAAGTCTCAGCAAAGTCCAGAATTCTTTGTGCTGTAAAGGCTGGTGTTTAGAAGCCAGAATTTGGCTTGTCTGTTAAACTAGCATCAATGAGTTAGGCTTAATAAAAGCAACCTCGGTGTTATCCCTGCATCCCCAAAAATACTCTCTGAAAGCTTAACCGAGATGAGAAACGTAACTGAGATGTGACAGCCCAGGACAGGGCAAAGCCAGGGCAGGTTGGGTGAAGGGCTGCTCTCTCCAGAAGAGGAGTGGGGCTAGCAGGTGGGGAGGCACTATCCATGGCTGTGTTTTGAGTAGGTATTTCACTCCCTCTTGGAAATTCCCTCTTCCACCAGGCCCCCTTGACGCTCTGGATGTGCCAGAGTCTAGTGTTTATTGCTGATGAGTTCAGCATTGGGGATTTGTGTTTCTGCCAGGATTGTGGTCCAGAGCCTGGGCTGTTTGCTTTGGAGGCCAAAACTGAGAAATGTGGGAAGAGGGAGGGGTATATGGGGTGTGTGCAGGGGAGGCCTTTTGTGTTTCTCTTCATAGATCAACTGGAGGGTGTCTTGTTAAACCAGGAACAGAACTGTGCTTTCAAGTTACCAGGTTAGCAGCGTGTGTCTTAGTATTGCTTCATTATATAGGAACTCTTTACTCCACTGAGAAGAGGGAATTTAATCCCTTTAACATGTAGAGGAAGCAGGAAGGATGGTGAAAATAAATACTAGTATCTCATGCCTGGAAAACTGCAGAGCATGGATACAAAACCATTTCCTGAACAGTAAAGAATTTGCTTTCATGTGTCCTTGGATTTTTCCCCTTCTGTTGTCTCTTTGCTAAACTGCATGTTGGATGGTGCTCCCTGTCTTCTAAAATGATTCTTGTTACAGGAAGACTTGTCTGTTGCTTGCTGCAGAAATTCCACTTCCATCCCCTTTAATTTATGTATCTTAACATGTACAGGTTGACCTGTGGGTAAATCTGCATGCCTCCCTTTTGCTTGAGGTGTCTGCAGTCATCCTTGCTTGTTGATGGCATTTTATGGGCTCTCCAGCTGTCCTAACAAGCCACAGCACGATTCATGAACTAAATACACCACAGACCAAGTTTCCTTCTGCAGTGGTGGGATGCTGACAGGCCTGTGGGATAATAGTGTGTGCCGGGCAGGGGTATAAGCAGGGAAGGGGGCTAGATGGGCAGGCTGCACTGGGGACCACTGGGTCAGCATTACATACATAGTGCTGGGCTGAGCACAGGGTCGCTCAGCTGAATTTACTTTGACGCTGTAGAATGGGATTTTAGCTGTCTTCTGCCCACAAAGACAAATGTGAGGTTCTGGGGAAATGGCAGAAAGTGTTAAAAATGTTGCTTCCCAGTTTGTGCCTGGGTCATTCCCAGGACATATGGTGGTGCTGTTTCCCTTCTCTGTTTTGGTTTTAGGTTTTTAGGTTTTGTTGGTTTTTTTTTTTTTGTTTGTTTGTTTTTTTCCACTTAAAGGGTATCCCATTTGTGATATCTGTTAAATTGCAGCTTCCTTTATTCCTTCTGGAGTGTTGTAAGGCCGTAACAGTTTCTTGTTTCAACAGGTGTGTGAGATGCCTTGATGTATGTGTGGTATAAACTCTGGACCTCTTTTGACCCCATGGTCACCTTGTTCTCCTTCTCACTTGCATGTGGAATCAAGCTGGTCTTCATCATGCCTTTGAAGGTGGCAAGAACTTATCTGTTAGATTCAGTCTTGCAATGCTTTAGTACGTGTACACTCAGCAAATAAACTGTTGCGGGGCAGATAAGTTGCTTGGGTCACTTTGCCCACCTTCATGTGTGTACACTGGAGCATTGTGTTTTAACAGGTCACAATCAGAAGACCTCTGCATGAGGTTCTTCAGTGTTCTTGGATGGTTTCGGAGAGCAGGAATGAAGACAAAATCCTGATCTAGCTTCATACTTGAATAAGGGAGTAGAATTAGGAAGACCAGGTCAGAGATTGTAATAAGATTATACAGGGTCCCACCTCTTTATTGTGAGGAGATGCTGCAGTCATTTGCACCAGCTCAGCTAATACTCTCTATGTAATCCATATCTGTAGGGTCGTGTGATAGGAAAGGCACAGTAGAAGATGGTTTTGACCTAAAGCTTGAATAGTTGCTTGGATATTGCAAAAAAATTTTGGCCTAATGTTACTGCTTCTAAAGAGAGACTTAGCACCCTGTGCACGAGTTGGTCAGTATGTCTTTGGGAGTGAAGCATTTCAACAGACAAGTGAGCACTGTGTTAAGATTTGCCTTTTTCCCAGGCTTCACCTTTGCTGGAGCTAAAACCCAGGTCAAGTACCCAGACCCATATGCTTCCCAGCAGCTGCTTAGGAGAGGCATATCAATGTGTTGGTCCAATTGGTCTCTAATGTGCTGTTTACAGAATTTGAAACAACTATGTTCTTCATGAGTAGGCAAGCTATGTTTTATATCTGTTGAGGTTGTAGGTGGGGTCTTACTGTTGACAGTCTTTGTCAATATACCACTTTCCTGTAGGAGACGGAGCAGCTCCTCTGTCAGTCCCAAATGTGCCTTCTGCCAGGCATTTGTTGTGGGCTCTCTGTGCTTATCACGACCTCACTTTCATTGCTAGTGCCAGTTGTTCTACTTGAGCACAGCAGAACATCTTTATCTTTAAATGAAGAAATTCAGCCTAGTTCCTGTTGCTTCTCTCATTTTTTTTTTTTTTAGAGGAGTTACCAGACACTGCTTTTTGCACTCTTCCAGTCTCCTCTTTTCAGCTGTCTAGATGCTTCCCCAGAGTAACTATGAACAGCAGTAATTAGAAGTCTTCTGCATTATGACTGCCCCCTTTGTGGGCAAAGTCTGTTATGTGAATGGCTGCACTTGAGGGTAAAGCCTTTATCCTGTTGAAAAGATTTGGCAGTTTTCTTCAGATTTTCCCTTGTAACTGGGGGGCACTTCTGGCTGGGGTCATAGTGTGTGAGTGGAGGACTGAAATAGAGGAACTCTGAAGTTTCATTTCAGACTTGGTCTTCCTGAGATAGTGAAGTGAAAGCATTTTTGCTTAAGTAGGTGAAAATAGATAGAATGAGTGACCTCTGCTATCAGGATGGATTTGATGAGTGACTCAGCCTGTTTTCCATGTCTCTTACTGTTAGAGAAGAATTAGTAGGATGGTTGCCCTTCTGAAGTCTCATGCAGTTTTGAGGGAAGTGGGGAGAGAGAGAGTAGTCTTGAAACCAAAATCTGACCTACTTCTGTTTCTCTCCACAGCTGCCAAAAGCCTGCTGAACAAGAAGTCAGATGGAGTGAAGGTAAGTTCTTGCTTTCCCATTTCACTGTCTTTCCCACCATCTGAACAGAAGGCAGCTGCTTTCTTTAGTGCCCATCCCCTTCCAGGGTAAAACCACAGCCCTGTGTTGTGGCTGGGATGATTATGTTCAGTGGAACCCCGGGTGGGATCTTAATGTTCCTTACATGCATTTTAGACATCACACAACTAGTTAAGGGCACTATTTTACCATCAGGACTTCTTTTTCCTCTTTCTCTGAAGTATGGAGAATTGGTTAATGATATGGATTAGAAAGACCGAAGACTTGCTCAAGTGTGACATGTGCTTCTGACTAGTCTGTTCTGTTCAGTGCAGAATGCTTCTGGGTATTGAAATTGCATAGCGCAATTGTCAATGATTGGTGATACCCAGTAGACCCCCTTTGTCTCCCCCCTTGGACAGATGCTGAAGGTATTGCTGGGAAGAGAGGTGGGGAATGAGGAGCCTCCAGATGTTCATGTTTGGACAGAATGGAAACTGAGTCTTGTGTTAGAGTTCAGTCCACATCCCTGGGGGCCAGGTACTATCCTGTTCCCTTCTGAGGGGAATTATTTTTTTCCTCACTTCAATTTCACTCTTTGTGTGCATGGTCATCATTTAGCTCTGGAGGTCAAACAGACCATTCACAATGCTGTATATTGTTGCAGGTTGTAGCCCTTTACCATCTGGTACTGGACTAAAGACAATTACGGGCTAGAGCACTGTCTTCCCCTAACTGTTCCACAGGATAACTGTCCTCCACATGGGAAAGTAGGGTTTGGTTTATTTGCATTTGCATTTCCACTGCAGGATCAGCACACTTGTCCTCTCCTGCTCTCTTAACCCTTTTCCGTTTAATGAGGCGCTGTTTCCAGGGAGGTCACAAAGCAGGCTGCTAGGAAAAGAGGTGTTGTCGGAGTAGTTGTGTTTATTTTGGGGACTGCTCTAGTAAAACTTACATTCTTGCAGTTCTGCTGTGTTCTGCCCTAATGACACCGAAGTCTCAGGTTTTTTGGCCAAAATGACATGTAGAACTGCTGTTCTTGTCCTAGGATACTTATCTTTGAAATGTGCCTTCGAGAGTGAGCTTTTGTGCCTTTGCACATGTCTGCCTCTTGTACAGACATGCACTGAACACATGCAGACTAATACAGCAAGTGTGTTTGAGTTGTTGCATCTCTTGATACGGAAAACGTTACAGTAAAATCCCAGTGGAATAAGAAGGGATGATCCCAAATGTTGCGAACTGAGATCCATCAGATACTTGCTTCAGAATCCCAGTGTGGCAGGGGAGAAGCAACTGGAAAAGCAGCAGATATGTCTATGTAGTTTGTGTCACCTACCTGGACAAAAATGGATTTCTTCTTAGGATCCTTGATTTCCAGCAGGCTCTCAGGGAGTGCTACAACTTCAGTCAAAATCTTCCAGAAATGGGCAGATGATGTGCACACAGGTTTTGAGGCACAGCTTCCTGGTAATGTAGTGACAAGTAGAGCTGTATATTAGAGACTTCCAGCTCCACAGAAAGCTTGTGGTGTTTGGTTCATTGAGAACACCATGTCTTCCTCCGTGAAAAGGTTAAAGCTGGATTTGCTTTTCTTCAACTCTTCACAGTATATGTTGTTCCTGATATAGGTAATTAAATACTTGTAATAAAGTGGAAGGTAGATTAGAGATCATAGCATAATCTGTACATGGTGAGTGGGGTTGCCCTCTGGGAACCTCTTCTCTGCTTTTGCATGACACTGGAGACCTGCAGTCAAGAGTCTGCATGCAACTTCCTTGCTCCTGTGTTAGAGCTGTCTTGCTCTGCAGTATGAGGCTGAGTGGTATCCACGAGGGGCATTGCAGGCTTTCAACCTGTTCTGAAGGCTCTTGGAAGAGTTGTTTAAGCTTCCCATTTTCCCTAGAAAACATCTGTCTTCAGGTGTGGCTTTTGAGTCCTCATTTCTGTAAGCTCTAAAACTCTTCTTAAAGCTGGTGTTTTGAGTAACCCTCTTGCTCTGTAATACAGATTTTTAAAACTACATGTCACTTCCACTCAGTGCTAAGTTTGGACAAGATAGAGATCAGGCAGTGGTCTCTGCGTGTTTGTAGTATATCATTAACACCTCTGATGTAGGATATCTGTGGCTACATGCTTCCTTGCACCTACTGTCAACACGTACAGTGCTGCTTTCCCATTAATCATCCCATGGTAGTGTATCCTTTTACCACTTCCACTGCTTATTGGAGCACTACTGGCACACTTGGCTGCTGTGCAGCAGTCCCTGTGCTGGTCACTATCTGGTTGGTGGCCTCACTGTTGTGACCAGTCTGCTTTTCAGGTATTGCTTGTCATGCAGGAAACTCATAATTTTAGCCCCACTGATTTTCTCATCCTAGATAGTTCTGACAAACAACTTGTGCCAGTGACTGGCTGTGTTAAGAGCACCTGGTCTTGCATTACTTGTAGCAAACTGATATTTCTGCCCATTGCAGTAGTGCAGAGCACAGATACAATGACTTGAACGCCAAACAGATTTTCAGCTTTTTGGTATCCTTTTCACTCCCACTTCCTATATAAAAAATTTTTACATCAGATGTAGGTTTAGAACAGGCATTGTGTGCTGTATTTTTAACCACAGTCTGCTGCTGACCACATGTGATAAGCTTAGGCTGTTTCTCATGTTCCCTCCAGATATGGAGACTCCTGGTTTGTCTGGTGGTTGGGGTTTTGTTATTTTTTTTGTTTGTTTGTTTCTTAAAACCTTTGTGGAAATCAATTCCTTCTGAAGATTTGAGATAAAATGTTTGTTTCTTCACTGGTTTTGTCTGGTCCAGGGTGACTGTGCTCCATGAGAGTGTTGCCACAGATGCCCACATACTAGATAAGAATGAAAAGAGTATCTCTTGCACAAACTGATGATTACACTAGTGTAAAAATGAGTGGCTTTAAGCCCATTGAGAAAATACCATTGCCAGTTTGCCTTAATTTACTTCTGTTCAAGGTAACTTTTTCATCTTTGCCTTAATTTACTTCTGTTCAAGGTAACTTTTTCATCCTTTTGGCTGGTGCTCCAAGCTGCCTATGCTAGAATCCTGCATTATTTGACAAATGCAGTAGGAAATTCTACTGAATAGTATTAGGCATGTTTGAGTGAGGCCTATACATCTTTCTCACGCTTTATTCCCAAGAACTCCATGAAAGTGTGTGTTGGTGAATATCTGATGCAAGGTGTAGCACGTTGATGCTGATTTAGCATAAATGAGAGCTCATTAGTCTATGTGGTGATACGAGCATCTAGTGTGAATTGTGTTGAGCTGCTAAGTAAGAACAAAACCACGATTTTTGTTTCTATAGGAATTGACTTTAATCCTTTGCTGAAGAAAGCCTAACACAGTAAAGTAATGGGGATTCATGCATTTTATTTGTGTCAGACCATTTTGGGAGCAGGGGTGGGAATCTTAAATTGGCAGGGGATGAGGAGAAGGAAATTTTTTTTTTTAATCCAATATGGATGTATCTACACTGGGGTTATTTTGATAAATTTCCATGTGTATGACCCTCTCCTCTAGCAAATTTCTTTCCAAAATCTATTTGAAGCATTCTTGGTTTTCATTTTGCACTGCTGCTTCTATTTCAAGCACTAATTCTGCTAATTGGTAGATATTTCATCAGCTTGGCACTTGAGAACTTTTCCATTATCTTAAATAATGAATGATTTAAACTGCCCTGAATCTTAAATTGTGCCTGCTCACCAAACCTGTGGTAGTGCTGCACTCACTTTCTTCAGGCAGAATTTGGATCCAAGCTGATGGAGTAGCAAGAAGGAAGGCCCAGGTTTTATCCCCAAGGAACATGCTTTTCTTCTTTCAAATCCAGAAAGTGAGGCTAGAAGATACTGGCTGACGAATTACAGAGCCATGTAATGTACCACGTATCTCATGGCCACAACTGTAGGTCCCAGGTATTTTTTTAAGATTCTAAATTTATGAGCAACATTGTGCAGCTGCCATTATAAAATTTACTTTAGATAGTTTCATGTCAAATCTACTTGCTTTCTTGTTCCCCTTTCTGCCTGTAATCTTGACTTGCCATCCACTGCAAGGGGAGGAAGGGGTTAAAGAATGGTCTGGGGCAGACACCTGGGTGAAGATTAAGGATACTTTATGCTGAATGTCCTTTCTCTGACCTTGTCAGGGTCTGGGTCCCCTGTAGTTAGTGTCACATTCCTACTGCTGATTTTTTTGTCTCGGGACAGCACTTCAGCACTTCAGTCCTGTTTCCTTTTTCACAAAGGTGAATTTTCCATTCTACTGGTGTGAGAGGATGCGTGTGTTTCCAGTTTTAGCAGGGCCTGTCAGATCCATCTTTATAATCAGAATTTGTTAATGCATAAAGTGCTATTTGTAGTTCAGTATGTTAGTATTTTAAAATTTTTTCTTCTCTAAGCTCTCTGTCAGTTTCTTCTTCTTTCTTTTTTTTTTTTTTTGCCCTGAGCACTTCTGTTTGTGATTAGGGGATACAAAATTATATCAGTAATGCTTTTCAGGCCCAGTAAAGAGTAACTTGTGGAGAATGCTGTGGGACGCAGGAGATCTTGACAGCATTCACTTGCAGTGCTCTGCAAAATTTGTTTATTTTCTACCTTGTCTCTCTGCTGCATGCATACTGTTTTCTTTCCCATTAAAAGCTGAATAGCATAGCTGAAAGGAGAACTCAGCTGGAAGAGTGAAAATCCAGATTTTTGGTGTGACAAGGTTAATGTTGTAAAACCTGCCCTCCATCTTATGTAACTGTAAAGAGGCACCAAATACCATCCATTCTGCTGTTTGTAAGGAATACTGTGGTAAGTGTATATTTTATGCCTGGTGGGTACCAGCTTTCCATGCCCTTTGCACAGTAAGTAGTATGTGGGGAAGGCAGGGTGCTCTGTATGCTAGCATGGCTGCTGAGAAAGCAGTTTGTGAAATGTGCCTTAGAGAAGACACAGTAGCAAGGTGAACCAACAGAGAATCCTTGGAAAATCTGCAAGGGTCAAGTAACAACCATGCAGCGACCAATAGGAGTTAATGCTCTGATTTCTGTATCTGGACTTTTTATGGCCTTAAAGCTATATTGTTTATAAAGATTGTTAGGGTGAAGCTAAATGAGGAGAATCCAAGTTCATCTGAACAGCACAGTTTTATGCTGAACTGTTTTATGCAAGGTGCTTGGGGAGTGCTTCAGATCTGGTTAAGTGCTGACATACAGTAACACGTTCTACGCACCTTTGATGCATTCACTTTTTTCACTGCATTGTTGTAATGCCCAGAAACTCCAACTGAGATCAAGGGTCCAGTGTGCTTAGCACTGTAGCAATGCCTAAGCAGAAAATCCCTGCCTCTTAGCTTACAATTCAAATAGACAAGCTGACAAAGGGCAAGAGAGAAGATGGATTGACAAAGATGAAATGATTTGCTCAGCATCACATAAAAGGACTAGAGCAGAAGTAGAAATAGGCCCTCAAATCTGCTAGTTCAGGCTGCCTCTCACAGATTTGCTTTGAGTTCAACTCTTTTTTTTTTTTTCCTACCGTAAGTCCTGAAATGACTATACTCACATTCCTGTATGTGAGTTGCAGCAAACATCATATTTTAACATAAATATACCGTCAGTATCAAACTAGGGGAGAACTGCATGTAAAAGATAGAAATGTGAAAAGATATCCAAGTGCCCAGAACTGTGAATGGGACCTTGTCTGGAATCACTCTACTTCCTATAACATCTTCTAGTACGTGTTGTGTTTTCTACAGGTGCTCAGAATGATTTACACTTGCCATTTCTAGTATGGCTGCTATGCTGAAGGGACAGTGATTTTTCAAGTTGTCTTCTGTCACCTGCTGACTTGTGTTTATTGTTACTTAAAGCAAGAGTCTTCCTTAAGTTTCACTGTAGAGAATCTGCTTCTCTTTTGAGATGAATACCTGAATTTCACACAAATACAGAAATACAACTTTAACATTTATCTCTGGGTTTGAGAGGAAAACATTGTCTACGCTGTTTTGGGAGAATGTTTTGTTGCTCAGATGTAATGAAATCCTTAAAGTGATCAGTGAGGTACTTTACCGTGGGCTATCTGTCTGCCTTTAACAATTTTTTGCATTCCCTGGGACGTCTCTGCACTGCCTAGAAATGCTTAGAGATGTAGCTGTGTTATGGAAAGGAAAGAGAACTCTCTAACTAAACCTCTGTTACCTTATTTACTTTGCTAAGTTGCAGTCACATTACAAGAAGAACAAAAACTTTTGCTCACTCAGCTAGTCACCTTGGGAAGGTGATTATGAGTCTGATGCAGCTGTTACAAAGGGGATTGGGAGACCAATCTGGTTTTAGTAATTTCCTTGTGTATGTTTTGACTTAATAAGTTTTGAAGCTGTAGCACTTACTGCCAGTACCTCATGTTGGCATTATCCAACCTGTCCTGAGTTGTAACAGTACTTTCATGCTCTGGTCTTAACACAGACCTCACTCCCCACCCTTTTTATACTGCCTACCTAGCTTTTCTTCTACCTGTTATTATAGTAGCCAGTAATAAATGTGCCTTCTGGTATTTCTACACTACATCATGCCATGTTCATAGACCAAAGCAGTTTTAAATTTAGATTGTACTCTAATTAAATTCCAATCTGCAGAGGGTTCTGTTTCCTCCTCTGTCAGTGTTACTTGTGCCTCTAATATAGGAGGATGATTGTTTTCTATATGGCTTGGTTGACTCTCACATATTGAAGCTTTTGCTTGTCTCTTAACATTTTTTGCCCTTATTCTTGTTTCTGTAAGTCATTGGAAATCTGTATGAACTTCAAATGAGACTGTCTTTAGAGATAAGTTTCCCTGCAGTATCCATATAGCCTCTGTTTGTCTGCTGCAACTTACAGGATACATCAAAAATTAAAACTGAAGTTTTGGAGCAGTTTCTCCACTGGTGTGAATTTCCACTTCTCCCAGTTAATAATTCCCTATTGTGACTGGATATAAGTATTTCTCTGGGTTGGTGATGGTCTAAGCATTGTATTCATGCACTGGTAGTACATCCTATTTTAGATCTAGCTTGAGGAAAAGTTTGTGGAGAAGCTAAATTGTCCCAAAAGAAGATGAGAGGAATCACAAGTTTGTAAACCAAGTAATGGCAAGCCCTATGGTGTGCCTCCATGAAGTGGAAGATTCTTGAGCCAAATGCTGAACAGATCAGTGTTCTGAGTCTGTGCTGGAATTAAAGATTAGATGAGGCAGAAGCTTTGCTAGTTTGAATATGTTTGTGCAGTGGCTGTGTGATTCTGTATTGTGTGGTGTGATTAGGAATGTGGTTCTGGGTATGAGGTGAACATGGGCAATTCTGCTCTCAAAGACATGCCAATCTGTGTGTGTGCTTGAGCTCTGATGTGAGGATAGCAGGGACAAAAGCAATATTCAAGGTGACAGCTGAAGACTCAGTAAGTGTGTGAAATGGGGAGGTACAATTCCATGGCTTGTACTGAGTTCAAAGGGCTGCTCCAGAGGTGGGCTGTGGTAGTGTGCAAGGAGTCCAGAGCTACATAGCTGAGCCCGTGCCATTGTGGTTTTTGGCAGAGACTTGCTGTCCTGCACTACTCTGTGAGCTTAGACTCTGTAGTAAGCAGCAGAGAAATAGCATAAATAGTACCAAAGGAGAAGGGCGGATGGAAAATGTATGTGGAGATAGTGGGGGGAAGGGGTAGCATTGTAATGCTGACAGACCTTCCAGTCTCAACTTGGACAGAACGGCACTAGGAGTGTAGTGAAAGAGCAGAGGAATGTATGCTGAGTCTGGCTTACTGGAAAGTGAAGTTTGCTGTGAAGGTGTCTTTGAAGATCACTGAAGATGCCTTTGAACAAGAGTAGAGTCCAAAAAGTTGGGTAGTGTTTGAACATCGCTCCCTGTTTTTATTCCTCCTAGTACCTGAGTGTGCAAGGTGTTCTGACTGTTTGAGTGCCTCTTTGTCTGTCTAGCCTTTCCTCTGCGTTTGAGCATGGGTGCACCTTGCATCTCCAGTCAGCCCCAATTTCTATGTAAGGGAGCCTTTCTCCTCCCCATGCTATGCACAGAAGTTCCCCCTTCTTTCTTTAGCCCTTGAGGATGCCCATCCTGTTGTGCCCTCCTCCACTGCCCTTTGATTCTAGTTGCAAACACACCTCTGCTTCCTCCAGATGTGAACACACGGGGGTTTTCTGCCTACCTCTTCAGTGTGGCTGGGGAAGCTGCACAGTTTTCTGAGGTGGAAGAGCACATAGAGGCACCCCCTTGAATGCCACATCTTGTGCATATATATTTCTCTCTCTTCTCCTCTCCTTATATCAGTGTGTGGGGCACCTATGTTCTGACCTCAGTGTTTGAGTGGATGGGGGTCTTCAACCCTGCCCTTTCCCCTGGTGTGTAGTCATGTTGTTTAATGGTGACTTCTCTCTGCACCTTCTCACGTGTCTGTGCACTTCTGCTGCTGCTTATACCTGCCCCTTGGGGAGCATTATTGGCAGGGGGGCCCTTGCTGGCACACTAATGTGTGAATAGTTTCTGTGCTTTTCTTCTCAACTCCTCTCTTCCCTTCTCTTTCCCTCTCTCAATGGTGTGTCCAGAAAAGGAAGTCGAGCTCCAGTGTGCATTTGATGGTGAGCACCTCCCGTAAGCTGCCTGCGATTCGTGCGTCCGCCATTCTCATGCCATGCACGCTCGGCTTGTGCTCATCACCCTACATAGCATGTCTGTGCAGGGGGGTGGTGGCGGGGGGATCATCGTGCACTGAAAGGTCCATGTCCTCACTAAAAGGGCCCTGTGATTGTCTGGCCTCCGGCCAGTTGTACAGTTCCCATTTTGTGCAGAAAATCAACTGCTGGCAATGCAGTTTGACCTTGCCTGCTCTGAGTGTGAAATGAAAAAAGTCAGTGGTTCTCCTGGGCTCAGCAGAGCAGGTGCGTGCCTTGCCTGGACATGGGGCTTTGTCATTCTGTTGCAGAGGTGCCAAAAAGAGGAGCAGGTGCTTTGCCTGGTGTTGGTGCCGTCATCCTTGGTGGGAGCCCTGCAGTGTAGAACAAACTGGGAGTCGCTCCAAATGTGGCAGAGACTGATGGGGCTCCTCTGTTCAGATGAAATGTGTGGGCACAGCACCGCTGGGCAGCTCAGAGCTGCCGGTCACTTCTTTTTTTAGCATACTTACTGAAAAGGTTTGTCAGAGCCTTTATAATCCAACACTTCCTTTTGTCCTGATCTCGTTTATGTATCCCAGCATGACCAGATACCCAGTAACTGCTTCCCCTGTCCTGTCCATTTCCTTTTTTCATTCATCCAGGTGTTTGACATCCATAGAATTTGTCAGAAAAGTAGTCAAATCCACTCTCAAGGGAGCAAAGAGAAAATTGGCCAGTACCATATTGTAAGGAGTCATACGCAGCCCATTAGATGATGCCTTTGCCTCTGATGCTGAGATATGAACAGTAATTAAAGTACCAAAACTAGTTACTGCATTGATGTCCTTTACACATAAAAAGAACAGAAAATATTTCTCCCATATTGCAGGTAGGAATGGGAATATCACAGTATTGAGAAAGCAGAATAATTTGTTTCTACATTACTATCTGGAAAATACTTCTCCCTTTCCTCCTTCAGTGACAGTTTAAAACTAGGTAAACACAAAAAAGTAATCCCAAAGTACTGCTTGGAAAACCTGATGTGAAGGACTGACTTTTCACCAGCCCTGCCTTTATGAAACTCCAGAGCAGGAGTTCATGGTGCCTTTCATGCCCTTCTTTTCTACCCAATGCCAGCAATACTTAAATTCCCTCTGCATGTTGTTTTAAAGCAGCTGGGATATGTAAACTGTGTGTCAGCCTCAGAAAACATGGAAGCAGTGAAGGTGGCTAACTAACCAGAGACAGCCCGTGTGTTGGTACTTATTTTCTTTTAGTTGGCTGGAAATGTGCATCCCTAGCGATATGATCACTGGTCTGTTTTCTTTCTCTTGCACCCTCTGTGTTGTTTGTGCCTGTCTGTCTCGTGTCTAGCTCAGGAAGCGCTGCCAACTGCTGTGCCAAAACTAATTGTGTTACATAGATTTTTAAGAAGGGCCTGACACCTTTTTAGGTGAATTGGCCTTTCTTAACTTGAGCTGTACTGATGTGAATTACCAAGGATTGTAGCCTGCCCAGTGACTGTGATGTTGGCTGGCAGTAGGAGGGGAAGGAGGGGTAAGAGTTGGCTGTGCCACCAGGGGCTTTGGGAAGGGCAGGGCAGTCTCTTCCAGGGAAGGGCAGTTGCTTAGGTGGCCACAAGACATGAGTGTGTGCGGGAAGCTCAGTATGTCAGATACCCCCATCTGAGAAGGAGCTGTGAAAAATGCTTAGGCTAAGTCTCCTGCGTCTTATTTCCTTGGGACTCTGTCGTGGAATAAAATGCTATGGGATTCTGGACTAGCAAACGTGATACTTGGTTGTCTTCAGCTCACTGGCTGAACTGGGTGTTCAGTGCAGACTGGCGGGCAGGCAGTGCGCTTTGAGGGTGCGTGGGTTTGCACTTGGTAAGGTGACATCCCACACCTAACAAGCTGCTGTCAACTTTTTTTTTCAGAACAGTGGCTTCCTGGATGGTTTGTTCTTTGATTTTGGTTTTGGTTTGGTTTGGTTTTTTTTTTCCCCCATTTGGCCTCAGTTATAAAGCCTTCCAAAAATCAGAAGTATTTTTGTACAGCTTCTTTCAGGATAACTTTACCTTCTTATCCCAGTGGAAGAAAAATGGGCTGTTCTTCTCATTGGAAGAGGTTTGGAAGATACATCTCTGCATTAGGATCACTGTTTCTGAAGAAGTGTGGGAACGTCAGTGGTGTGAGGAGGGGTGGACACAGGTGTTGCCAGAAGTTTGGTTGTGTTTATGACACAAAATAGCTTGGGACTAATTTTTTCAGGTTGATCTGCTCCTCTCTTACATCCACAGCAGCCTGTCATCTCTTCTGCCATCGGGCTGAATACATGCAGGAAGCAAAGCTACTGGAAGGCCAAAATCTTAGGAAAATGTGGGGATGTATAGGAAGAGGCAGTAAACAGTAATTTGTCAAGTGTTACTCCTTTCTTAGCTTTGGGGATGAGTGTGTCATATGCTCTTTTTTTTCCAATGGATTTTTAAAGAATTAATTCCTGCCTCTCTCTTCTATTTCCTCCCCTCTCTAGCTGCCCCATCTTCCTCTTCTGTTTCTTCTCTCTCCCTCTCCAAAAGAGATAGCTAAGCCAAGGCATGCTGCTTGTGAAGAAAACCTTAAGTATTAGTAGGCGTGTGTGAAGCCTCAACCTCATAGGATCTGTCTCTGGTTGACATAATTAAACCTTTGGCAGATGTTGTCCAGCTCAGCATTTGACTTCTGCATTCTTTGTGGCGATTACTGGGTGATGAGGGCCTGATGTTTTGCAGTATGAGTTTGCACTCCCCATGAGTGGTGGGATGGAGAGCTGCTGCAATGAGGTCATGCTCCTGTGAGGTCCCATCTAGTATCCCTGATCTGTAAACCAAAGAGTTTGAGTAAGGCTCTTGCAGTTCTGATTTTGACACTGTTGCGGGTGTCTGGCCGGAAGAGAGCTGTGTGCCTGGTGTGGGGGTTACATGGCAGTGTAACTTTGGGCCTGATTCTCCAAGAACTGACTGGATTTGTGGGCTAGGAACTATATACTAGTGGACATAGGTTTGGCTTCCTACAAACACAGACTTTGCTCATTCCTGTCGTAACTAATGTATGTGACTCAACAGGATGTTTCTTTGCAGCAACATGGTGACTGCCTCACTGTTGTGCTGTGTGAATGCAGGAAATGGAGATTTTATTTTTCTACCACAGCTACAAGAGAGACTGAAGAAGGGAAAGATAAAAAACTACTGGGTACCTTGCATAGGACTTGCTACTTGGGGAACTACATGGCCTTTTCCTTGTGTCCCACCCCCCTCACCTTCCATATTTTGATTCTGAAGTCTCTGTTCAGGTCACAGCAGGGACACAACATCACCATACCTCTCCATTTCTCTACCTTTTCTAGGGCTGACCACACTTTTTCTTGCATCAGTAGATTCCCTGGGACTCTCATCATCATCACATACCTAGGACTGTTCCTGCACACTTTGGGACTCCTCAGACATGACTCCCATTTGTCCCCTGTTTGAGACTGCACTGTGACTATTGTGTGTCTCTTTCTCCTGTGACCTCTCCCATCTCTCATTCTTCTTCACCAAACACTTTTGTTGGTGCTCATTGCAGGATTCTCCCCATTCTTTTGGCTGCTGCCCTTCCCTTCTGTTTTTCTTCCTTATAGCTGTAGCAGTCCATGCACATTTGGGTTTTGGTACATCCCTTAAAACATCTGTTGCCTCAGGGAAGGATGATGTCCAGCGACACGGGCAGCACTCCTTCCTCCCACTTCTTGGTGATTGAGCCTGTGGGAAGGGGAGGGTCTGAGGAGATGGTTGGGGTTGAAGCAATACTGTCATTTTCTTACTGCCTCTGCTGCCCGGCAGGGGAACTAAAACCATGTTTTTCTGTCTCAGCCACAGAGCAACAACAAAACCAGTATAGTAAGCACTGCAAAAGAAACACCCCCAGTGCAGACGTCCATGGTATCTTCCCCAACCGCTGTTTTTTTCCTGTTTGATTTAATTTTGATTCTGTCCTCTCCCCTTCTCTCCTTCCCCCCCATTCCGAGTGCTGCTTGTGCTGCTCTGTTTCAGCTTGTGTTTTGGCTTCGTTCTGTTTGTGTCCCTGTGCTGCTGTGGGGCCTGATCACAGCCTCACAGGCTTTGGGGTGGGGGTGCTGAGCAGAGCTGTGGTTGGATGTGGGGATAGCAGCTTGCCTGGACTTCCCTGTGTGCCATCCCTGTATAGTTCTGTGTGTCCCGTTCAACTGTTCCTGCTGGCTTTTGGGAGACTTGTTGGGAAAAAGAGAGTGGCAAGCTCCATCCACTCTCCAACACCCAGGAAATGGAAGATGAACTTCAGGACCCCACAGACGAAAGGGCAGGCAAAGGGTTTTTAGAGGAATCCTTTGATAGCCCATTTGGCCTGCTCGGTTGGTGGTTGATCTGCTGTAGCTCACTGACTTGCTGGGCTAGCATTTACTGTTCGGGCTGCGTGCAGTGGGCTTCATAGGGTGCCCTGTGCCTAGTATGTTGAACAGCACAGTTCAGTGTGGTGTGCCTCAGTATGCTTGGAAGACCAGGCAGCAGTGCAGTGGGTGACAGAGGGGGATGGGTGAGTGTCCGTCACCGCACCGTCACAGTCCCTGGTGCCCTTGCTCAGCCTCCCTGCGAGAGTGACAGCAGTGGGAGGAGATGGTGCAGGAGCCTGAAGTCTTGTCCCAGTAATGAAGGGATGAGTGCAGCAGCTAGTTAGCACCCATAGGCCTGGTAGCTGCTCTTTGGTTTATGTCTCTGGAGAGTTGGTTTGGGCATTTTTTTTGGCAGGGGGGAGGCAGGAGGAATTTGATTTTTTTGTTGTGGGACGAAGGGTTCTTGGGACACTTCATAATTTTCTGCTTTCCCTTCACTGGCTTTGTTCATGATGGTTTTGATTCTGAGGGAGCCTTTCTAAATTATTAATTATTGTTGTTATTGAAATTGGATCTCATTTTAGAAACCTTTAGAAAAATGTGCCTTTTTTCACAGCCCAGTTCCCTTAGCAACTCCTCTCTGAGAGGCATTGAGGTGGTCTGGCTTATCCCTTTTTATTATGGAAATTATGAATGTCCCTTTTTTAGGGTAAAACACCTAGCAAACTTTCCAAAAAACTGGGAGACAAAGGCCCCAGCACAGTATTATCCTTTCTTCCCCCTCTCCCTCCTCTGAAGCATTTCCAGTGAGGACACTGCTGAGGGCTTATTACTTCATGAATGGCTGCAGAGGGTGCAGACTGGCTGCTCCCTTGCCATCTGGTGTTTGTGCCAGCCTGGTTCACTGGAGGCAAATTGGGAATTAGGGGCAATTGCAGGGAAGCTGGGGGCTTTGTCTCCTTGTGACTGTAGCTTTTAGTGCAGCCTCTCTCTTCAGGAAACCTTCTGTGCAGGAAGTGTGTGCGCACGCACGCAAGCACACGTGTGCTGTTTGGAGTTTGTGGTTTGATTTATTTTTTCTATGTCAGTCACCTTTTCTCCACTTGCTGGGGAGTGAAAAGAAATGAGAGAATGCTTTGGAACTGGAGTTTAATGATTCTTCCATCCTTTCCTAGGAGCCTCAAACAACTGTTGTCCATAATGCTACAGATGGCATAAAGGTAAGGGATGGGAGTGTTGCCAGAGAAACCTCCGCTTCTCTCTTCTCGTTCTTGTCTTCGTGTGTCTTACTTGAGTTTCTACCTTTCCAACGTCTGGTTTGTAGCATGCTCCTGAATACTGTTGGCAGTAGACTGGGAGGGTTGTATTGTATAGCTGTGGATCTCCAGAAGAGGCTGAGTAGGGACAACTGTTCAAATATTATAATCTCTTTCCTACTGCGGTGCTTAATCACCACTCTTTCATATGCGGGATGGAAGAGAAGATACAGGCACTTACGTACTTTTTTTTTTTTTTCTTCTTCTTCTGGAAATGGAGACCTGTTCCTCTGAGAAAGCCTAGGAGCCCTTCTTTAGATTTTTGTGGATATTCTTCTTCCAAACAGAAGCAACTCCTGTTTGATCTCATTTGACAGAGTTTGGTAACTTCTGTCCTTGTAAAACTTCTGGGTGGATGGCTTGAACATGCAAAAGCTGAGCAGAGATGCTAACTTTTGCTTAATATGTGGCCTGCTTCCATCCAAGTCTTCCTTGTATCATCCTATCCCTGCCATCCCTGCTAGTGTTTTTGCGCTTTTTCCCATCTTTCTTCACAAACAAATCAAACTATCTATTTATGCTCCCAACTGCTGATGCCTGGTAATGCTCTGTTCTGCCGTGCAGGGTTCCACAGAGAGCTGTAACACCACAACTGAAGATGAGGATCTAAAAGGTAGGTGTATTGCCTGTAATTTCTAATGCAGTTAAGTGCAGGCAGGGGATCCTGGAGGTCCAATCATTGCCTTGAACTAGCTTCCCAGATTTCTCTGATTCAGTTCATAAATTCACCATGATGCTGTCATTCCTGTCACAGTGGGACCATGCGTTGGGGAACCAGCTGACTTGGCCTCTGTAGTATATAAACAATGTTCGCCCAGAGATAATTTGTTTTTGTCTGAGTTGGAATTCTTTTCTTGCAAATACCATAATCTGTTCATCTCCAGTCCATTTCTAGGCATGGAAAATCCCTACCAGTCCCTTGAGGTTTGCAGTCTGGTTGTGTTTTTGTGCTTCCCCGTAGGTTACAGGGAGTTGAAACCTCAATGTTACTGCTCAGTCTCCTTTCTCACCCCTTTCTGGGAATCTCTTTAGTGACATGCAAACACTTCCCTCTTTATTTTTTTCTCTTTGGGTCTATTTTTGTTTCTAAGATGAAGATCATTCTCAGCCTGTCATCTCTGAATGGAAGTTATTTTTCATGTCCTTGACTGAGATATCAGTAGAGGGAAAAGCTGAGAAGAGATTTCACACCTTTCAGTGACCATATCATAAATATTCTGTTCTTGTAAAACTCTTTAGGTCAAGGAGCTCAGAGTCCCATATCTGCTCATGTTGTTTGAGTAGCTGTCCTTTTCCTGACCTCCCTAAAGAAGGATGAGCAGATGTTTTCCTGAATGAGCAGGTCCAGGATAGGTGAATGCAGATGTGTTCTGAGACAAATGTGTTAATAGTTTGCATTTTGAGGCAGAGGTATTCTTATTCTCTCTGTAGTTGATCTGAGTTACATATCCAGGTAAAAATCAATGCTGACCCTGTGGTGGAGCAGCAATGTCACCTCTGTCAGCTGGGCTAGTTCTTGGTGCTTTTCCTGTGGCTTATCACAGACTGCTGGCTCCTCTTCTGAGGAGTCACAGGTAGCAGAAACGCATGACAGCGAGTGAATGGTCTCTGCAATACAGATTGTTTCAGATAAGACCCGACCTCATTCCAGGACAGTATTCTAGTTCCTACCTTTTTGCCAAGGAGTAATTTGTGTGGTTTAAGAACCTAGCTTTGAGGGAAGGGAACTTGGATGGTTTTGGTAGTGTGGTAATGAAATTGACTTACCTAATTTCTGCTGGATATTTTTCCAGAACATATATTTGTCCAGAACTTTGTGTCCTTTGGCAGCTTTTGTTCAAAAGTCCCAGGCTTGAGCCAGTTGAGCCAACAGGTCCTGTAAGTCAGGAATACAAATGCTGTGAGAGAAAGGCTGGGACTGGAACAGAAGGTGGGGGGGGAAAGAGGGCAGCTGGCCAGGATTAAATTGCTGAAGAATTATATTGGGGCTACATTGCTGCAGATCAAAACTGAGGTATTTTTTTTGGCAGAGATTAGAAAATTTTGTTACAATTTTAATAGAAGGGAGCATTTGAACAGTGGTTGGGAGGGAAGGAGCTTGCACAGTAATGGTTTGTGCTATGGCCAGCTCTGGTAATTTTAGTGCTTCAGTTTTAAGTGTAGCAGTGTTCACCAGTGTTCCTTTTCAACTCCTGCCCGCCATGTTTTAAGCTAAGCAAGCACTCAAGCAAAACTAAATAGACCAAAAGGTTTGGGGGCGTTGGAGTTCTCAACAATCTGCATAGCCATGACTCTGGGAAAAGGGAAGTGCTTGTGCAATTCCTCTGCCAACTTCTTATTTTCAACAGACAACAGGTTACGCAGATCTGTTCTCTCGTGTGACAGACATCGTCTTGATCCATCAGTGACAGTTGCCTCAGGGATGTGTTGCTTCCACTGTGGTGGGACTAAAGGCAGCGCCTGTTCCCCCCAACCCCCGCCCCCATGTCATTCTAAATTGCACAGCAGATCCATGTTGTAGAGCTGTCTACTTGGCTTTGCCCTGGAGGATACTCCTGCATGTTTTGTGCCCAGCATTGTGGTTTCTTTAATGTTCTCCTCTTTCCTTTCTCTTTTTTTATTTACTGAACTTGCGTGTTTTGTTTGTGTTTGTGTTTTAATTCCCTGCCATGCTAGCTCCCCCTCTCTCCACCGGGGACGGCAGCTCAGTGCTTGAAGGACGGAGGCACAGTGAGAGCAAAACACAGACTGAGTCCATGCAGTCCCAGCTTTCTCTCTGTTTCTCAGCCAGTAAGTCCAGGGGTGCAGTGCTTCACGGCATCTTTTTCCCACCCCTCCCTCCACCTTCCCCGTTTTTCCTTCCCCCAAAATCTTTCCTTTCCTCAACTTCCTTCCAGAACGTTGATTTTTTTCATTTCCAGTACTCCAGAATAAAAAGAAATCATCTCCCTTCCTGCAAAATACCCTCCTTTGCACACTGAAAATTTCCAAACTTTTCCTTCCCTTTTTGAAAAAATAAACAAACAGAACCTCATCCTATCTAATTTCATTCCCTTGCTTTCATCTGAGTGAGACATGGAGCTCTCTGCAGAGACCACTGTCTTTTGGGGTCTCCTTGGACAAGCCACTGCATCTCTTAGTTTTCCTTGTGGTAAATGGTGTCAGTGGTGCAGGCCTGCTTATGGAGGGGATGCACAAGGCTGAATTCAGTCTTGCTTGTCAAGAACTTCTGAGCACCTCAGACATGGATGGTGCTTGGGAAGTACAAAAGGAACAAAAACCAGTTTTTACAGACTGCTTCAGGGATGCTTTGGAAGGGATACTGTGGCTGTTGGAAGTCCCCATAGCATTTCTGAATCCACTGTCAGGTGCTCTGAGTGAAAATCCTTGGATAATGTTGGCTCTGAGGGGCATTTCTCTGTTGTGCGTTTTATCTTGCGTGTCTGTCTTGCTAGCTCAGTCAGCTGGTGCCATGGTTAGTCTGCTGGTTATGGTACCATCTGCCTGATCTCTCCTGCCTCTGTAGAGGATCCTGTGGCTGAAAAACTCTGAAAAAGGGTGAGAACAGCTAGTGTGTTGGAGAAAATCTAGGTGGGATTCCAAATCTTTCCCCTACACAGACATACTGGACTAGCTGCCTGACTATTTAAAGCTATAATGGAGGGATTCTTAATGTGAGTTGGGAACGTCTAGAGTATGATTCTGTTCAGGTCAGTCTGGGAAGGAAGAAACAGTCATGCCCTCTTCCATCTCCTCCTGTCTTCCTTCCCTGGTTTCCTGCACACAGCACCAGTATCTCAGATGCAGCAGTCACTCTGTTACTTATTTTTGAAGTAGCTCTAGGGATGTCAAACTGCTGGCTCATGCGGTACAATGCAAAGTGTTTTGCCCAGCCAGAACGGAAGGGAAATGATCTCTTCTGAAGTCCTTTTTGCTGTCAACTGTCCATCACTGCCTTCTTATTAACTCCTTCCTCTTGCTCGTAGCAAGGCCCTGCTTGGTACACTGAGGAGTGCCAAATCACTTCTCTGCCAAGTGGGGCAGCATTCTCCCACGCTGCTCCCCTCTGAGTTGAGATTTGCAGTGATTTGGATGCCCTACTTGATTTCCCTTTCGCTCACATCTCGTACTTGCCCTCGTGCTGCTCTGTCACTGCTCCGACCAGTGTTTTAGGTCACCCTCAGACTACCTCCAGCAGCATTGGTGCCATTCCTGCTGCGCTCTGAGGGGTCTTCTGCACCGGTGCCTGGGTGGCCACCTCTGGGCAGTGCCCGGCCGATATGTGACAGAGGCAGGAGAGCGGGTCGAGCTTTCTGGGATGTGGCTATCTCTGTGTGCTGACCGGGGTTGGGGCCGTGTGTGTTTGTACTTCTTTGTTGGTTTTTTATTTTGCTTTCTGGTTTTTGTTTGTTTATTATTTTAATGCTTACATTTGTTTTGCAGCTACACAGTCTTGTGAAGAGAAGCTTCTTGCCTGGGACAGCCCAGGGCAGACACTGGAGTTAGAGCGTGCTCGGTCGGAGCCTTTGCTAACTCCAGTAGTTCCCTTTGTACTTAACTGCGCACCGTGTAAGTTAGCAGCTGGGTAGCAGTAGTGGAGTAGTGCAACTAATGCTAGTTACCACAGATGTAAAGCCGACCCCCTTTCTTCTCTCCACCTCCGTGCCCTCACCGGCCCTGTCCCTCCCAGAAGGGACGGAGCACCCCTCCGAGCTGGCCGCCGATGGCAGTTGGTACGGGCGGGTGGCTGGGCCGCAGGCGGCCCCGCAGGCCCCGCCGGCTCCCGGCGCCGCTGCTGCCCACCGCGCCCCGGGGCCGCAGGGAGCCGCGGCGGCCCCGGGGGCCGGGCCGGGCCGGGCCGGGCGGAGCGGCGGAGCCCCACTGCCGCCGCGGCGGGGCGGCTCCGAGAGCTCGGCTGGAAACGCTGCCCCGCCGGTCAAAGCGAACTGCGCTAAAAAAAGCTGCCGCGGCGCTGGCAGGCTGCGGTAGCAGGGCTGCCTCTCGGGCTTCGCAAAAAAGGCAGTAGAGTAGCTGTGAGTCACGCGTGTATATCCGTGCTGGTGCATGCTTGCCTCCCCTCTGTGCCTCTGTGCAGTGTATGGTAGGAGGCCCCATGGATTCATCGGGAGCGGCAGGCGTGAATGCCTTCCCCCCTGACATCCGGAGGCTCTCTGTCCTTCAGAAAAAATGGCTCACCTCCCGTGTGCTGGTTGTAGCTTTGGGACATGTAGTAAAAGCAAGAAGACGAGCACAGTCTGATGGAATGGACTAATGTTGAAGGACAGGGTCTGTGCTGCTGCGTAGTGACATTTGGGAAGGGGGTGCAGATCTCCTTGAGATGAGTCAGCACGTGGTGGCTGTCATCTGCAGTTTTCCTTACTCATCCCAAATGGAGCCTTTCCCATGGACTCCATCTTCCGGACATTGCACACGCTGGGAAATCCAAGAAGTATCCCTGCTTCATGCAGAAGCAATTCCAAATGGCTTGCTTGTAAAGACATTTTTCATGATAGACATAGCCCACTGTGTCATTTTGATCTATTGCCTGGATACATCTTTCGACATGTGGAAGTGTATACAAGTAGAGTGGCAAAACCAGCTCCCTTACTATTATGAGACAGTTGTCCCCAGTCTGAGATGTTTCTGTGGCTGGCTGAGTAGTATAATTCTCTTAATTGCTTTCCAGAGTGGGTGCAGACATCTTTCATAGCCAGTGAGATTATCATCTTGTTGCTTTTCAGCTGCACTTATCAATGTTGGGATGAGATGCACATGTGGATGAAAGTTTACAGGGGAGGGCAGTTCAGACTAGCATCTTCTGGCATTTAGAGTGGAATTCACCTTCCCTGACTTGGACATCTAAAGATGGTAGGTTGGATTTAAACACCATCCCCTTAATGAGAGGCATCTGAGATGCCTCGGGTGAGACTTCCAGAATTGCCGATTTCTTTCAGGGCCTAAAGGAGGAACAGTCAGGTGACTGGATCTATTTCAGACACCTACATTTTAGATGCCTAAGGGCAGATAAATTCCACTTCTGGTGGTAGGAATTGTAAATTATTTGGTAACATCGAAGATAATGCTGGAGCACCTCCTAAATGCTTGTATAATGTGCAGGATATCCTGCCTACAGGGAAAGTGTGGAGAAGGCTTGAAGAGATGTAAGGGTGTGCATATAGGCTCAGGCGTACATATGGTGCACATACAGTTGTTGAACTAGAATTGTTATTTAACAGAGCTGACCTAAACTTTGTGAGTGTTAACTCTCGAGATCAGCATGAGTGATGGGACACCTCAAAGGGGATGGGGCCTGGGCAATCAGCTGTGGGAAACCAAGAGAAGAGAGTGCAGAGATGCTGGCCAGAGAGGGGCCAAATAACAGTAGACAGCTAGCCCCCATCTTCATTCATCTTGAAGTCCAGTGTGCTGGGTTGGGTTAAGAGCAGTGCTGTCAGAGAGCTGAAAAGAATTGTGCCATAGGGATTGGCAGAAGCTAACTGTCTGAGGAACAGAGTGCGCACTAGTGTGTAGCTAGGACCTGTTTGTTCATCCAACCCATCCATCCTGCTGCAGTTGTCTTTCTAGCTTGCAGAAGTCATCCCTACATGCCCCAGTTGCTTGTTTGCAGCATTCATCATAACCGAGGTATTGGTGATGGTGATAGGCAAGTTGTTGGGAGATTTTTTCCAATTGGCTTGATCTGTGTGGTGGTCATTTGTATATGACTACTGTGGCTGAAGGGTTTTCACGTCTTAAGCTGCCAGACAAGTGCTTCACATTGGCAGGTTCACTGAAATTCATTGGTCAGACTTCCCAGAAGCGCCTCAGGCTGTCATTTAGGAGATACCTCTGGTGCTTTAAACCTTTCTAGAAGAAACAAATTGAATATGACCTCTTTATTTTATTTCTCCCTACATTATGGGATCACCATTCCCCTTTCATACCACTGCCCCTCTACTCTCATGTGGATGGCTGTCATTACTGCATATCTCCAGAATGCAGGGAGCAGCATCCTATGAGATCTAGACTAAAGGTGCTCCGCAAATTGCTTGTAGGATGCACCCACTAGCCCCATATCCCCACTGAAGTCTTATGCGCAGTTAAATTGCTCTTTCTTCTTGTTTGCAGTGCGTAAGCAAGAGATCATTAAGATAACAGAGCAGCTGATAGAAGCCATCAACAATGGAGACTTTGAGGCTTATACGTAAGTACAGGTGTTTTCTGGCAGGTTGTTTATCAGTTTGTGTGCAAGTGATGGTCTGGCTCCGGGGTATGAGGAGTTGTCATGCAGTCTAGCATGGTAAAAAGTTTTCTGCTTTTTAATCTCCATCAATTGGGAGTGGGAGATATGGTAGAGCTCTCTAAATGAACATCAGGTAGAAGTCAGGTACCAAACAGCAGCAGGAGTGACAAAAGGAAAATGTCCTGGCTTTGTAGGAAAAGTAGGGGGGAGGGCAATGAGATGGATGGAAAGAGAGTAAAAGAAAAGCCAGAAACCTAGAGGCTTGTTTTATGTGAAATCCCAACTAGCACCAACTCCGTGTTGTTGCACCAGGAGTGAGTCCTCCAGCAATTTACTTCTTGGAGTAGGGAAATAGTTAGGTGGACACTGGGTGTGAGACAGATGCCATACCAGCGCTTCATTGTGTTAAATAGCCGTTGGGCTCAAGTGCAAACTGTAAGCCTGTGGTGCTTTCCTTTGCAGAAAAATCTGTGATCCTGGCTTGACCTCATTTGAACCTGAAGCACTGGGGAACCTGGTTGAAGGAATGGACTTCCATAAGTTTTACTTTGAGAACTGTGAGTGGGTAGATTTGGTAACACCAACAGCTTTCTCTCTAATCTTACTTCATGCCACATTGTGGGGGGAAAGTTGCCCTTGTTTTTACTGGTTATCAGAACCAACAATAACTTGATCGTGCATGGGTTATGATGCATTAATAAGAGCCAGCATGCTTTCTCTCAAAAGCCCTTTTCAGCAGCAATTTCAATTCTAACCCCCAGATCGCGTCACTGTATGCATACAGTTTGCCTGGTGCAAGTATTTTGTAAGCATGGACTGCAGGAGCTTTAAAAGTTTGAGGCACCGGATTTTGTACTGATATGGAAATGGAAAAAATGAGCCTGTTTTGATGGAAACAACATGTATGTTTGGGAAAGATATACTGAATGGTCAGACATAAAGATAGACACGCCTTTGGTTTGAGTTTCCCCTGGACAGTTTCAGATCTCTAACACCTTGTGAACTTGTCACATGGATACAAGGGTCACCTTGTCAGCTTGGGGCAGGAAAAAAGAGTTGGGAGAAATGCTGTCATTTATACTAGTGGATTCGCCTCCCTTCTTGGATATCTCCACAGGATGAGATACTTGAAATTTAAATCCTGAGCTGTTCAATTTGGTTTATTTTGGGAGTTAGATCAAGGTCCTTAGTATAGGCTATTCCAGTGCTCTATGCAGAGACTTCGTCTCTCTCAAAAAGCCTGTTCTGGAGTGATTTTTACAGTTTTCTGAGGCTTGTTCATATTTAATGCAGGCCTAGCTTAAAGATCACCAGATTGAATCCTTTGCAACAATATTCTGTAATTAAAAGATCTTTTCCTATGACTGAAGAAACAGCAGTGCTGATGCTGAAAAAGTGACGAGTATGCTTTAAAGAAGAAGTAGGAGCAGAGGGGCCAGGGGATTCTAGGCAATAAGTGCACAGTTCCTAAGGAGAAGAACAGGTGATAGGGGAAAGAATTGCTTGGATTTTGCCTGGAAAATTGCAGGAGCAATTTTTATTGTATCCCAGAACCCAGTGGAAGGTGAGTAGAATACAAAAGAGGTTGGAGGATGCGGGGGGCTGTTCCTTCTTAGTAGTAAAATGAAGCTGATAGTTTTGCATGTTCTGCCAGTACTGTCGAAGAACAGCAAGCCAATACACACCACCATCCTGAACCCCCATGTCCACGTCATTGGTGAAGATGCTGCCTGCATCGCATACATCCGCCTGACACAGTACATCGATGGCCAAGGCCGGCCCCGCACCACGCAGTCTGAAGAGACCCGCGTCTGGCACCGCCGAGATGGCAAGTGGCTGAATGTCCACTACCACTGCTCTGGAGCTCCTGCAGCACCTCTCCAGTGAGGATCAAAACCGGGTACGAACTCTCAGGGAAGGAGCTAAGGCTGCTGTACGTGGGAGTTCAGTACTCAAGGCTGTTTAGCTGGCTGAGAGAGAATCATTTTTAGTCGTCAGTAGGCTAAAAACTTCTGCTGATCAGCTGGTGTTTCTTTCTCTAAGCCCAGACTCAGAAGGACTTGTGTGCAAGTGATGCACCACCTTCTCTGGCCTCAGTAGCATTATCTGCCACTTCTGACAAACTGGAGTCATGTGCCAGATGGTTGCCCCTGAGCATAGCTACTCTTGTAGCAGCAGTGCTTCCCCCAGGTGCTCAACTCTGTGGTCGGACAAAGTGTTAAACTGGAGCAGGGAGGAAGAGTATCTCATACTGTGCACAGGTTTGCTGTTTCCCAGCTGTCAGGGATCTGCCTTTACATGATGGGGCTAATTTCAGAGAACTTTTTTGATGAGAATGTCATATTCTAGAAGGGATATTGTAAAATCTGTGCAGAACAATTTTTATGCCATAAGGGTAAAGACTTACTCGTATAAATTTTACTATCGATTTTCTGAATAGCAGAAGCTATTTAGTGTACAACGTTGAGAAAACTTAGAAGGGAAAAAAAGAGTCTAAATAAATAATAATATCAGAGTAATTAAAGTATCCCCCAATTATCTTGCCACAAGTTCAGCATTGGAGGAAACTTTGATTATAAAGTTTGACATGAAATTGCTTGCTCCTGAAGGACAGCAGATCCATTTACTTCTGCATCATTTAGGCATTCTTGTTTATTGCCTTACTGGTTTCTTTCAGTGAGATGTACAAAGTCTTTCTGCCTCCTTTCATTTTATGCTGAAGTACTTGTCACATTCATTTCAAAAATCTAACTTTCCTAATCTTAGGATCTTTTTACTAATGATTTTCTATTTAAGAGCAAACACAGAAAACATCTACACCTGAGAGACAAACTTTTAAAAATGTGATCATCTGAGGATGAACCACTCAAGTTATAGTTACAACTTTCATCCTAGTCTTGTATATTATTTGGAACTAAGCCAAGAACAATTTTTATTCATATGTATTGTGAGAGATTCAACCCTCCTGAAGGCAATGAAAAGGAATGTGAATTGTCACAAGCAAATTGCAGAGGTTACAGATGGAATTTGAAAAGCAAAAGCCAGTTGGGGGCACCAGAAGCAGGGAAGCTTTCAAGAGAACTGGACAATCAGCTGAATTTCCAGGGATTAAGGCAGTGAGAAGGATAATGTCTTTGCAGGGAAATAAAAAGTAACTAACTTGCACCAGTTTTCATCACAGAGATAGTGAGGGAGACTTATTCCTGGATTTAGTCCAAAAAGGTGCAGAATAAATTATTAAATTAAAAGATTGGTATAGCTCAGTGGCTATGTCTAGGAGTTCTGAGGAAACTTAGGAATGGAGAGTCTTAGCTGCTACAGAAGAGGTGTGTTTCCTTGACTTGGCTGCTGAAATATTGCACCTCCACCTAAAGTATGTTTCTGAAAACTGCAGAGCAGAAGCCATTTCCAAAAGACAAAATGTTAGTTAAAACAATATTAAAAAAAAAAAACAAAAACAAACTATAAACTAAATTGAAGTTGAAATATTTGCATGCATTTCTGGGGTCTGAAAGAGGTGCAACCATGTGCAATTACGAGTGGGGTCAGTGTGGGCAACCTGTTTGGAAGAGTGTTGGCCCATGTGCCATGGAGGGTAAGGCTGAAGAAGGAATGAGGTGACTACGAATGCTTAAATATAGAAATCAGTGGTTTGTTCTCACCTGGAAAGCAGGGTTCAATTTTGGGTAAGTCATCTTAAAAATTGCAGCCATAAAGGAGGTTTGAGGTTAATCGGAGGACTTCTGTGTAAGGAAAGAGGAGAAAGGAGAAAACGGAGAGTTTGCAACAAAGATTTGCAAACTAAAAAATGGTAGAAAGAAGATTTTGACTACACTTCCATGGCAGGACAATGCTAGACAAACATGAAAGAAACCCCAAACTTAAAACTCATCAAAATAAATCCAGTAATTTGACCCAAGAAAATTAGCCAGGAGGAGCCTTTGCTAAAAGCAGTCGCCAGGGCTACAACTTTGCAGAACTGCAGAAAAGCTCGTACATTTGTTGAAATATTAAGAACGTTCAGAGACAAAATTATTAAAGATTAAAAAAAAAAAAACAAAACAAAAAACCAACAAAACAAACAACAGAACACCAAAAAACCAACCAACCAACCAACAAAAAAAAAAAACCAACAACAAAAAAAAAAAAAAAACAAAAAAACAAAAAAAACCCCACCAACTTTAAATCTTTTAGTTCAAGGCAAAAGCCAATGAGAAGTGAGACAGAAACTGTTCCTTAGGACCAGAGCCTTTGATCACCTCTTGGGAAACTTCTTCAACTTCTGGGATGTCACTATTATTGTGGGCCCAGGTCTGCTTCAGTCGAGCAAGTAACTAATTTTAGGAATTAGTTTTCTTGGGCACACGCAGATACCTGGAAGGGAAAAGTGGAAAAGTGTGTGCCTCTTGTCTTCAGGGCTCTCCTCATGAGCCTGTGTTGTGTTAGGAAGGGCTTCTGCTTGCACCAAATAATTAGCCTGTAAAAACCATGTTTTATTAATTGTGTACAGCTAATGTTTGGCTTTATTTTCTTCCATCTTTCATCCTGTTCTCCCCTCTCCTTTCTGGGTCGACACTACCCTTTCCTGACCGCAGCAACTTGTGGAGATACTCAGCTGGAGGGCAATATCTTCCTAGCAAGCAGCTCTGGAGTGCCTGAGTGACAGCAACGGTCATGTCCGTTTTGACGTTAAAAAAAATAAATACAAATTACAAACAGGCAGCAGCCAAATGCACGAAACCCTGCATGCATCTGATGCTCCAGGCGCTGCCTTTCTGTTGTTTTCCATGGATCCATCGTGTCTGTTTCTGCTGTACGAAGGTGTTTTTAAATCTAAAAAAAAAAAAAAAAAAAAAAAAAAAGACAATGTTGTTTGTATAAAATAATAAAAACCAGGAATAATGCTAAATAAATGACAGATTATCCAACGTGCCCCCTCCCCCAGGGCTAAGAAAATGGCAGCAGCTGGAACATCTTTCAGAAATGAAGTGAGGGGGAAAGCAAAAGTGAAGGAGAGAGAAAGAGAGAGGGAGAGCAAAAACGGTGGCGGGTTGAGCAGCGGATGGCTGAACTGTGCTCTGCAAAGCCACGGTGGAAGTTACCACATCACATTCAGTCTGTGCTGCGACTTCAATCAGTGAGAGGTGGCAAGGAGACCCCAGAGGAGCCAGTGTGAAGACTGGGGTTTGAGAGAGAGGAGGCGCTTCTCTTCCTGTTGCCCGGCAGACTGACTTGAGCCTGCTTCTTCTTAGATTTCTGCACAGCAAGAACGCTATGGAAAGCTGGTTGCTTGGCTGCTGGATCCCAAAACAGACTTTTTTTTTTCCAAAGAAAAAAAAAAAATAAATCAAAGTGGGCTGTTGACTTTAAAACTAAAGGTGGAAGTAGGGATTAAAAAAAATGTGTTTAAGTGAATATAACTTAAATAGAAACTTGCTCTTCAGAGATACTGGTTTTAGAAACAGCCACTACCTGGCCAAACATGAAGGTTTGAAGCCAGCTTATTTAATTTAACAAAACAAAACAAAAAGCATTGTGTTAAGAGCAGAGATTTTAGAGGAAGAGAGTACATGTATGGGATTTTCTATTTTTTTTTTCCTTTCTAGTAGCATAGTTGGGATCCACAGTGCTGCAGAACACGTGTTCCTTAGGAAGCAGTCAAAAAACTTAGTGTTATGTTCTTCATGAAAACTTGCACATACACTCCTATATGAGGCATAAATAGCGTGTGTTTTTTATACTGAAATATATGCACCCATAGAATTAAAGGGGTTACCTGGCCTCCTGTTTGATTGGTTTGGTCTCCGAGTAAAATAACAGTGGGAGCCAGCAGCCCCAGCCAGGTGCTTCTCCCCACCACTAACCCATCTGATGTTTGTAAGTGTCATGTTTCCTAGTGTTTATTTGGGTAATTTTTCTATTTTTTACAGTGATGTTGTAACACAGAAAACTATCAGATCAGAACCTCAAAAGCTGTAGCTGAAGGACTCCAGATCACCTCCCTGTGTTGCCTCTGGGTGTTAGAGGATACCTCATCAAGCAGAGGGGAAAGGGAATTAGCACATGTGATCTGATATTTGTCCTTTGGGCCATTTCATCTTCCTTTCTTTTCTTTGCTGCAAAAGGAGTCCATTTCCTTTATTCATTGGGTGGGAATGTGGAAGTGTTTCGTTGACCTTACCAAGGAGGGAGCCTAGCCCAAAGAAGAAAATGGCCTTTCTGGTGGACCTGATGGGATTTGTCTTGACCAAGGGAAGGCATCACTTGCAGAAATTGGGATGGGCTTTTACCTGAATTTCTGCCTACCCCTAATAATTTTTCAGATCTTTTGAGGGAGTTAAAGTGATTGCATTGACAGCATGCTAAGTGTGAGGTAACCTTTTTACAGACTACAGAAGAGAAGAAAGCCAATTTGGAATTTTAATCCTTATTTAACAGAATGCAGAAAATAAAAGCTGTTGCACAAAGTGGAGCTGTTGCTTTGCAACAGATAGCTCTCTGCTCCCTTTGTTAGAGAGGTGCTATCCCACACCAGGATTAGATCAGCTAACCTCTGATGAAGGAAAAGGCCATCCACACTTCCCAGGTTTGGCTGAGCAAACACCCTTTTCTTCCTCCCTCCACTACCCCAGGGAGGAATGTGGGAATTGAACCCACGGGGGGCAAACACTAGATTTTATGATTTCAAAACGTTTTTAAGACAGCACTAAGCCAGTGAGTGAAGTAGAAAACTGAAAAGTCTTGATATTGTATTCAGATTTTTCTTTTTAAAGCCACAAAGAGAGAGCAAACAAGATTACAATTTTGCCATTTGAAAAAGATAAATACAAAACATTATGCATGCCTTCTTTAGGTCTGATCTTCCTTGTCTCTTTACCTGATGATTATTAATAAATAAAAAGAAAACCCTCTGTATTAAATACCTGCATCTTCTGGAGAAAATTTTAAAAGAACAGAAGTGTTGGGCTTTTTGGTTTTGCACAGTCTTGGAGACAAGCTCTCTTTTGGTTTTTTTTGTTTGTTTTGTTTCCTTTTAAGTTAATGAGAAACTTAGCTTGGTATGGCCATTATCAAACACAGCTGTACACCTTTAGCATTCTTAATGTTCTCTTATGGGGCTAATATAAGCATCTATATAATATATATTATAAATATCACATTTTAAACAGGAAATGGAAGGCATTTGATGCAGAATTTTTGCATGATATAGAAATAACTAAAGTTAGCTAGTGTTTGTTTGTTTGGTCTGAATGTTGGTAGAACCTTCATAGCTTTGTTACAATGAAACCTTGAAATGAAGATATTTAATAAAATAACATTTAAACAGTGCGAAGTTTTGAGTGTCACATTTTTCTCTTAAACCATGGGACAATGTGGAATTAGCACTTCTGGGATAAGAATCAATCCACAAAGCTTTTTTTTTGTGTGTCAGTAGATCATGTGATTTAAAAATATGTTTAAAAAGGAAAAAAGGTAAGTGGTATCATACATAAAATGAAAAAATACTGGTGTAATAAAAACAGAAGGGACAACAGAACCCGATAAAATGAACATTAAGGCATTTCCCTGACAGACCATGGGATAGTTGGAAAACATTGCTTCTGTTCCTAACTTGTTCTGTTGCCTAACCCTTGGCAAGCCTATGCCGTTACTTCCTTTCTTGGTCTTTGCTTTCCTCACCACTGTCCTTGTTGTGGGAGAAGCTGTCTTGCCATTAGGTTTGTCTGATGTAAACATGCTGAACTCAGGTTGGGTGGCAGCTCTGATGTTTGTGAGCTAGTGTATTTTGAGTCCTAGATGGGATGCCTCTGGAGGCACAGATCAGCCACTCACCTGTACAGATTTGCCTGGTCTAGCAGCGTAAGCGTGCTGTCCTAGCAGAAGTTAGAAGTCAGTTGGATTTAGCTTGTTTCGTTTCTGCACTGTCTCTTGTTACCATAATTTCATTTATGCTCCCTTGGGCAGGCTTTGTTCCACTCAGGCCTTTACTGCTTTGGCTTTTTTTTTTTTTTTTATTTCCTACGCTGTACTGTTGAGGCTGCTCTCTCCAGGGCCAGCGGGCTCCTGGGTGAGCCTGCAGCTTGTGCTGCTCTTGCCGGCTGCGGAGCCCCGGGCCCGGCTGGGCCCGGAGCGTGGCCGTCGGTGGGCCTAAACTGCTCCTCTGCATTCCTGCCCCTTCGGCCACCGCTGGCCTGGTGGCCGCTGACCGCGTGTCGGGCCTGGCACAGTTACTGCTCTGACTGCGCTGGGGACACTGGCAGCAGCCAGGCCCGAGGGGCTCCAGGTAGCATTTGTGCCCGGAATTGGGCAGCTGGGCTGGCCTCCCCCCTCCCGGAGCTCTTCTCAGGTGTGTCTGGGAGGTGCTGCAGGTGGAAGTGTGGCTTTGCCTTATCACCGAAAGAGAGTTCAGTGTGCTTAATCCCCTTTAACTGCAGCAATTACCTAGTAAATAGGTGTCAGTTGCTGCTGCTTAAAGAGATGATTGCTTTTGCTGGCTGATGAAACAGGAGGAAAATCGCCCTTAGTGTTTAAAGGCAGAAGGTAAGGGTTTTACAGCCCACTTCACTGGGACTGAAGACAATCAGTTCATATCTAGGAGAGATAGATCCTGCTATTACAGTAGCAAAGAGAGGTTCTGCTATCATTTCTGACATCCAAGGCAGCATCATTCATCAGATAACATCTTCCCTGAAGCAGTTAATCATATCTTAATGATCTTTGAAGAAATGTTGCAGTATGATCTGAGATGCGCTAGGAAGATACCCATTAAGTTAGTGATGATTTCCCATGCTCTTAGTAGCTCTTTTAACCAGGACAAGGGTGATTTAAACACTTTCTGAAAGCACAATAGTCAGACTAATGATTATGTCAAGAATATTTATGTAGCATATATATGGGGCTTTTCATAGGGTTCCTATGTATGTGCATGACTTAACCATGTTTTAAAAAAGTGATGGTGTTCTATTTAAGCTGCACTGTATGTGCTTTTACCACTTGCAAGTGCTCTGTTAGTCAGTCTTGGGCACTGAAAAATGGGATAGAATCTGCTCCAGAAAGGGTTCATGTCTTATGTTTTCTTACATTTTAGCTGACAAAAGGGATTGGGAATGGTACTTATCTGTAAGGTGACAGCTCAAATATTGAGCTATCAAGCATCAATATTCCCAGAAACTTATTTTCCAGCATGCCATATTTGGTTAAAATCTACTCATCCTACTGGATGGCGTTTTGTCATCTTCGTATCTAAGAGAAGTGTCCAAGCATGGTTTTCTAAGTTCCCTCTCTTTCTCCCAATATATGCACATGCATGCTTGTATGCACAGGTTGATTACTCTGTGGGAGACCTATGATTGATGGTGGCTTTTATTTGTGCCCAAATTAGAATTTCCTTTTAAACTAGGATTGGTTTGTTCTCACCTGCTGGGCTAGCAGCACAAAGTCTGGGAAGATGTTGTTATGCTACAGTATGTATAAGCTGTGGGCAGAAACATAAGCAGAACTAGACCTCGAGTGTTGATATTCTTTCCATTTTATTTTGAAAAGCGTTATCTCTTGACTTATGTGTAACTTATAGACAAAGGGATAGAACATTTGACTCTAGAGGTCAAGAGATTTGTGATCTGTTTCTGGTTTTGCCACGGCTCTGCAAGGTGACTGCAGACAATCCACTTCTGTGCTCTGTGCTTCAGCTTTCCCATTTGTCTGTGCAGATAACGAGATTGACCTCTGTAGAAATGGCTGGAAGAGAGTGATGAACAGTGATGCAGAGCAGCTGGGTGGTATTGCTGCTACACATCACAGATGGCTGCTTTTTTTTTTTTTTTTTTTTTTTTCCCAGAGAATTTAAAAGGTTTGGGACTGTGGATTAATGCACC